CATATATTGAGCGGAGCTCACAGTACTTCGATCCGTAATTGGAATGTTGAGAATCACGGATTGAAAACTCCAAACAAGTGAAGGTTCGACGGAGCAACTCGGAGCAAGCACCAGGCTCATCACCGGACCTCTCTCACGAGAGGCGAGAGAAAAGATGACTCCTGAGGCCAAAAGGACGAACGGGGACGTCCGCACATTTCAAGACGTAATCCGCCTCGATTCGGATGCGGTTTTCAGATCGACCTTGTTTGATCCCGCCAAATCGCTTTGGAGCTCACTGCGTTCCGGATCTTCGCCTCGACGCGATCCACTCCTCGCGAGACTCTCGCATACGTCCCTGAATCGGTGTACCCTATGTCATTATGTTCATTGTCTTGCTCGGCCATCGAGGCGCTTACGATGTGCCATCTTTCGTCAGCGAATCCGGCCGACGAGGACTGAATTTCCTTGATGTTCCTGTGGCGGTCCCTGTGCTGGACGACAATGTGCCCGTCTCGAAGTAAGACCGCGATGTGATTGCCGTGCTTGCTGTTCCGCAACATCGCCAAAAGACCCGAGTGGTGATGAGCCTTGACTTCAAAACGAATGCTGAAATCTCGTCGCCACTGGCTGACCTGGAATGAACACCCATCAAAACCAGATTATTATATTGTACATCATTCAAAACCCCCGAGAATTTCGGAAGGAGGCGAAGAGAACGTATAATGGCGACGAGACAGACCTCGATCGGATAGGAGATATGCGAGTGGACAGATTCTCCGAAAGCCATCGCGTTCGGCTCGAAGCTCTCGTGAGGTACGTTGTTGCAGCGGCCCACTTTCGCGGTGTCGTGAGAAGAGCTCACGGTGTGCCAGTGCTCCGTGATTCGTTCTTCCACGAGGTCCTCCTGTTCAGATAAAAAATTCCATACCCGTGATCGCCGGAGCCTGGTTATGACATCCTCTTGGCTATTCCCGTCACCAGCGAAAATAGAGTACGAGGAGGCTCCTCTACGGAGGTAATTCCTTGGCGTCCCGAAGGAGCTGCGCATATGAATAAATTCATACCTCATGGTCGATGTAACTCTTCATCTCCGCCAATTCCCTGCCGATCTTCGCGTGCCTATGATTGATTGGGTCTTCGAAGCCGACTATGTTATCGTTGAAGATGACATCTTTTATGACTCCCTGGAACGCGGTGGATGTCGCGACTTGGTGCGCTGTGTTGAGATCGGTCCTGCATCCTCCAAGGAATAGGCCACCCACGTCACCGGGAGCCATGATGTCTCCGATACCCTGAAATGAATTTCCCGTGTCACAGCGAATTAGGAATAACCCTTGTTGAGACGCTATATCTAATTCACTTACTGCTGGCAGACGCAACGCTTCCCGGGTTCCGAAGCGACCGTCATCGACATTGATGGAGATTTTTCTCGAAACCCGATGCACTGACACCGTGTGCAGCCGGCCGTCGTTGTAAGTCTCCTTGGTTCGATATTGTACCTCGCCATGGTTCTCGCCGACACCGAATTTGAAAATCAGATGTCCTTCCTTCAGTGAAACAGAATAGTAATTCTGAAAGAAAAACAACAACATGGAGCTTGAGTCTTCTCACACAATCAGAGGTCGGAGGAATGACCCCGAGACAATAAAGGTGATACAGTCCATTACATCCCGTCGAGATGCCTTGGCTCGGTCGGCACCCACCACCCGACTCCCAGTCGAACATGTCTGAGTATCCAGATAGGAAACAGCTCGTACAATGATTACGAACGTGACGCGCAACTCACCTCACGCAGGCTTCTATCGACGTTGGATCGCGTGAGGAACGTGCTCAGCATGAGCAGACCGTCGGGCTTCTCTGTAGCGAAGGTGAAGCCGAAGTTTCCTTGCTCGAGTAGCTTGTGGCTCTTCAATTCCACGTAGTTGCCTAACTTGCCGTCAAAGCTCACCGCCGGAATTTTCTACGATCGGAGAGAGATTTATGTCGTAGGAGCGATGAGGAATCGCTGGTGGGAAAAAGGAAATAGACGTTCGCTCTTCGACGCAACGACTCAATCGAGCGAACGGGAATGAACGAACCTTCACTTCGCAGCCGAGTTCGACCCCGTGCGACGTCTTCATCAGATCAACGCCGGACGAATACAATTGGGTGTCCTTGATACATCCGAGGAAGGCGTCGAGAATCACCCGATCTGAGAATCTTGCCGACGGGAAAACTGGTGGCATTCCGCCGAAGTAGAGCTTTGCCTGTCGCAGAGACGGCAGGGCAGACTGGGCCGACGGGCGCATTTGCTCCGTCAGCCTTTCGGGATATCCGTCCTTGGGTATCACTGAGAGGATGCCGTCGAGTTGATTCTTCTCGGCAGAAACGACCGTCCACTTGCCGTCATTGTATCTGCGCTCAGTGTACACCTCGAGGTCGTGCTGACCCACCCGGAATCGAAAGACCACATGTCCATCGCGGAGGAAAATGGCGAAATAATCGCCAACGGCTCTGTTGGGCGCGAAGAATAGGAGTGCGTTCTCATCGAGAGTCCGGAAAGCGAACTGTACGAAATAATTCTTGTCGCGGTACGTCGAGGGTTGATCAACGATCGAGTATCCGCTGCCGCTGAACTGATACACCCCTGGAATATTCAAAATCGATGAGGCAGTATTCGAGGATTCCCCGAGCACTTCCAGTCGGAAAAGCCTCCGTCTCCCCTCAGTTTCGTCGAGTGCTGTTCCTGGTCACTGAGTTCGTGGTGTCGAGCTTCTCTTCCCTCGCGGTCGTCACGATGCGGCTCCATCGTAATGGAGCCTCCAATGACTTCAGAGAAAACTCAGAATCCAGCACAAACCTTGTTTAGTCTCCTTTGTGGGACCCTCAACGCAACCGCCGCAGCCCCTGTTGGAGTGGAAGTCCCACAGACCAATCTGTTTGCCATCCACTTTGAGACTAGCGAGACAGCCGACGAAGTTATGGGCTACCAACTGTCTCGAGGCCGTGATGTTTGAGGGTATCGAGCCGATACTGTAGTACGAGCTTGAGTCTATGACCTGCTGACCGCGTTCAGGACTAGTGCTTCCTATCACATGAAAAGATCGAATCACAAGCAGAGATTAGTATTATAGAATGGAATCAGCGATATCGAGCAGTCGAGCTCGCTCAAGGGCGTCCCCGTGCGGCCGAATACTTTATCCATGGCCGCTTGTGTAATCAACAGTCCGATTCGAGAATCCGATGAAAAAAAAATAATTGGATAGAGAAAGACTTTAAGGAGGTATAGGAAGAGATGACGGAGAAGAAAATTCGTCACCGTGCCTGGAGAGCGATTCCTCCGGAGATACTTCCCCCCCCCCCCGAGCAGGTTCGGCCGTGATAACGTGTTAGTAGATATAAAAATGAAATTGAGCGTAGTCGATATGCCAATTTTCGTACCTCTCGCCATCAGGATGAAATTATCCTTGCGTCTCTTGACGTAGAGCGAAACCACGTTCCTGGTCCTCTCGACGACAATGTCGTACCAGTTAGGCTCTTTATTGTATCTGGTATCGGAATTATCGATCCGCAGCTCGTTCTCCACAGAAACGGTCTCGTCGCCGATGTTCCAACTGCATTTGATTCGTCGATTGACCATTTCCACAGCGATGAAGTCATTCTTGCCGCGCGTGTTCGCCGCAATGAACAACAGACTGTTTGCAGCTTCGGAGCTTATCGAGTAAGTCATTTCGATGGTTGTCGAAGTCGGGAAATGCATCTGAAGGGGAAACGCTTGTTCAGGAGAAAGACTTCGCCCCACGCTCTCGCCGAACAGCGAGTGTCGACTCATCGGCAGCAGCTACGCAACGAGCCAGAGCGCTAGAAATGCACCGACACGCTTAATGGCGAGGCCGGGTGCACATACCATCGGTCGGAATGTTCGGTGACAGACTCCGTTGTCTTTTCCATTCAGGGAAACTCGGATGCTGGAGGCTTTCTGTCGGGCGTTGAGGATCTTTCGCCGGAGGGCGTCAAGGTTCGCGCCGAACTCGATTTCTTTTTCCTCGAGGCGCTTGACTTTCTCTTCAGTAGCCGATGTCGCTTGCAGAACTCGTCCAATGCCGCCCTTAATTTCCTCCAGAATTCTGTCGATATCGTCTGGAAATGGACATTGATACCGCTCGATAATTGCATTCGTCTGTGTTCGGTCGCTCTTTCTTAGAACAGCCTACGACTCGGCCCCGGAAGCGCCGTCCCAGCTCGAAGTTTCCTTACCGAGTCCCGCCGATGATCCGCCGTAGAGCTCTTCCACTCGAGTTTTGATGATTTCAATGCTCCGCACTAAATTGGCCACGCGTTGCCGAGTGAAGGCCACTTGGTCTTGGAGCGTCTTATATTTAGGATCGTTCGGGTCCCACTCGGTGAACGAAGTTATTACTTGATCGAGTGGTGGAATGGCCTTGAGCAACCTCATTATTTCCCCAATGAGAACATCGGCGTCCGAGAGCAACCTTTTCTTGTTCCGGAGCGAATCGTGCACTCCGGGCAACTCTCGATCCTTGAGATTCTTCGCATCGGCCAACAATGCTTTGCTGATTGTCAACGATCTCTCGGCCATTTGGAGGAGACTCTCGCCTCCCCTAGGATGGGATTTTTCCCTGGCCATTTCGAAGGCAACTTCGGCGTCACGAACTGCGTCGGCGGCCGCCCTGATCTCTTGTATCAAGAGCTGGTAGACTTTGGCGGCCTCTTGCGGCTTGAGTGATTGCAGAGCCGTTTGCTGGAACATTCTCGAGATGCGATCAATTTCGGCAGTCATCGCGTTGGAATGCGCAATGCATTTCTCCACGTATTTGATTCGGTACTCTGGGTTGAGTCGGTAAAGAATGGCGCGTCTTTTTTCCACTTCGTCGGATCTCTTCACGATGGCCGTCGTCAGGCCAGGAATTTCGTCGAATTTCAGCTGGAGAGCTCTCAGGAGTTTCCGGATTTCCGTCAGTAGAGTGTCGGCCTTAGCGATCATACCCGTGGTTTTACTGCTAGCCTCGTTGATAGCAGCGATCATCCTCTGTGGATCAGGATCGAACGTGAGAGCTCAACTCGGGGGCTCCGAACCGAATGGAACGAGCGCAGGAGATTTTCGGTGGGAAAACGAGAAACTTGAAACCCCACTCACAATTAAGGACTGGAAGACTCGCATTTGTCCATCAATTATTCCAAGAGCCTCCTTTGTCGGGTTCTGGCCTTTCTCGATGATCAAGGTCAGGGCACTTTTCAGCAGCTCTTGCAAAATGTTCAGACGTTGCAGGAGTCTGCAATCAAATAAATTGAGGGCCTTATGATTTATTGCTCCACAGAAGCTTGGGCCCTCTGGCGTCGACTCCAATTATTGTTATTGTTCGGAGCCCGACTCGTGAACAGGGGTTTCAACCCTTTTCGGCGGGAGAGATTCCGATGCTCTAGGCTAATCGAAAATCAAAGAAATAAGCAGGGATTTTCGCTGATGTTAACTTACGCTCTCAGGGCTCCCTCATCAAACACGGCGTTTCGGATTCGATCGATAAGTCCGTTCGCCTGCCTGAGCTCTCGTAGAGCCTCCTCGGGGAGCGGAGCCACTTCCCGTCGAACCGATAGGATGAACTCTAGCCAAGCCTCGGCTTCCCGGTACATCCTCTCGACTGCGGACGTCGTGCTTCCCGGTCCGAAGCCGTACTTTTTCATGAGTTCTACCAAATCTAGAAGGTTCAACGACGAGCCAGTGAGACCGAGCGGTGGAGGCAATTTGTCCGAATGCCGTGAATCGATCTCCGATCGGGTCCAAAAAATTGTCGCAGGTTCTTACGCTGTACGAGTTTGTACTCGTCTTCGATCTCGACCCTCTGTTTCTTGTGGTGCACCTCGATCTCGTGGAGGTCGCTTCGCACCCGGGGAATTTTCTGATTGAAAATTGTTTGGAGCTGGTAGTTGATGGACTGGATGCGGCTCTCCAAGTTTATGGAAAACAGGGACTCCCGGAGAATTCCTTCGGCTTCCTCAATCTGACCGCGATAGTCGTCCATAGCATTTTTCGTGCGCCGCAAGGAATCGCTTAGACGAAGTAGATTGTACCACGGGGCTTTGAGGAGCTCATTAATATCGATATGGTTCAACCAGTCGAACATCTGCTCAATATCGTTGAGCAGCGCTCCAGTACAGGTGTCATCGCAAGCTGCAAGGCGCATTGGGATTCAATAAATAGGTTCTTGCAGAGAGAACTCCGTCACTGCCCTCCGGTGCACTCTCCCGACGATGTCGGTCAAGTCAACTCACATTTGCAGCCGAATTCTGTGAAGACGTGCCGTCGTGGACAAACCGTACAATCCCGTCCCGAGATTCCAGGAATACAGGGACATTGACCGTTCTTCTTATCGCAGACTCCACCCTGGATTGTTCCGTATGGATTGCAGTTGCAGGCCTTGCAAGTTCCGTTCACAACGTTCGGATCACCGTAGTAACCGTCAGCGCAGCTAGAAATCACGCCATGCTCATTAGAATTCCCGACATCGCAGCCCCGACGCTGGTCCGCTCTCCCGACCCCGGATTCCTCAACGCCTTACATTTCGCAACGGAGTCCCGTGTATCCTTTCTGACAGTTGGTGCAGACGTATTGTCTGAAGTCTTCCCCACGGTATTCACAAGTGTCGGAAAACGAGTTGTCGGGTCTGGGACACGCGCACGGATTGCAAGCGATGCCTCGAACAGGATCTCCGTAGAAACCGGGAGCGCATTTTTCACAGTGATCTCCCACTGTGTTGTCTCGGCAGTTCTGCCAGAAGAAGGGGAAAAGGTGAACCGATACGTCAAGCTTTCCTAAAGTTAGATCTTGTCTCTAACGGGTACGATCCGAGTCCGTATCCTCCGCTTGGAACACTTACGAAACAGACTCCGGTTTCCTTGTCGCACTCGCTAGCCATTCCATTGCACTCGCAGGGTTCGGCCCAGCCGACGAGATCGAGTATGTCCTTGCTGTCCAGGAAATTTGGCTTGCGCTTGCGATAGTAGCCAGGCGCAGGATCCTGGCACGAAGACGCGGTGTATTCCCGGGGACAAAAACCGAGCTCGACTCCGTAGGCGATTCTCGGCAAAACTCCTGATATGATGCCTGAACACCGGAGGTAGTAGGGATGTTTTTATCCGCCACGGGCTAGAGGATATTCGACCTCCTGAATGGGAACAGCTGCCTTCCGGGATTCGACAATCTCCTTACCTTGCTCTTCGGGGACAGCGTACTCCAGGACGACGTCTTCAAGACTCGCGAATTTCACGTCCGAGCCTTCTGTTGCTCGTATCATCCAATGATCGATTTTCTGCAGCGCCACCATCAGCATTGGTCGAGTGACGTTCACCCGCGGATTATCCAAGTCCATCCATTCGTCCTCGTGAAGTCGCACGCTGTAATGTCCGTTGCGGAACGGTCGTTCCTGTTTCGGTGGTTTGTGCGCGAGGCGTAAACGGAAGTTCCCGAAAAGTACAACGAGCGGATGGTTATCCAGCACTCTCTCCGGGAACACGTCGCTCGATTGAGATGTTTTCTTGAATTTCAATAGACCGTTGTACGCGCGAACTTTGTCCCCCAGGAACTGCTCCGGCAGTTCCCAGTAGAGAGGCTTGCTCAGCATGAAGGGCACTTCGACCGTGACCGTGGTTCTGTTGGTTGTCATCGGAATGTGTGTGAAGCCCTCGCGCGTTGGTAGAGGTTTATCTCTAGATCCTCCAGTCCTGAAAGTCACTTCGTACGGGAGGACCATCGATTTCTCCGACCACACGAACGGAGACTGGGTACACTTGGGGGGATAAGTGCGTCCGAAAACAAAGCACTCGGTACAACCTCTCGGATTATCGTATTGCAAAGCGAAAGCTCCTGGTTTGCAGGTGTCGCATTTTGTTCCTTCGACGTTCTCCTTGCAGTGGCAGTAGCCGTCGTCGTCACAGCCGCAAATGCCTGAGAGATTAAAATAGAGTAAAATGAGAAAATAGAAGACCACCTATCTTCCGGTGTGCGCCCACTGAAGGGGGCGATCCAGAGCTAGTGGGGGGCTCTGGAAAGGCTCTTCTTAGCTCACCGTTTCGGCACTGCTCGGGCTTGGTTCCCTCGAGGTTACATTCGCATCGTCTGCAGTGGGGGAATCCATAATGGCCGAAAGTGCATTTGTCGCACTTGACGCCTTCGAAACCTTCTCTGCAACGACACTGTCCGTTCCCATCACAGTCGACGCTCAGCGATCCGACCGAATTACAATCGCAGGGTCGACATCCTTCCTGCGGTATGTAACCGAAGTAGCCTTCCTTACAGCGCGAACAGTCCGGTCCGCCTGTGTTTTTCGGACAGATACAGCTTCCTGTTTCTTCATCGCACACGTGTCCCGGTGCGTCGCAAGGCTCGCATTCTGTGCGATGAATAATAAATGTGCAAACGGTTAATCTCGAAGCGTCGTCGGGTAAGGATGTAAGTCTCAATGCTTGTTCGTTCCTATAATCCCTTTGCCTGTGGAAAATGGTGGATTCTGAGATCGTGTGGTGTGTCACAACAATTATTATGGACGAAAACTCACTGAAACAGCCTTGGGGACCGAACTTGCGGTGGTTCGGCAAACAAACATCGCATTTCTTCCCTCCGACGCCGGGCTTGCAGATACACTGTCCGGTCCGAATGTCACAGGAGGGTCCCGACGCTCCGACGGAATTGCAATTGCAAGGTTCGCATCCAGCCCCGGTCTGAATGTTCCAGAAACCGCTCTCGCACTTATCGCACCGGCGGCCGATAACATGTGGATAGCACTTGCATTGACCTGTCTCAACATCACACTGTTGCTCGTGGGATCCAGGCGCGTAGCAATCGCAGACTAGAGAGGAAAATTTCTTTCAGCTCGGGATCTCCATACTTTCGATGGCGATGAGCGAGATACGCACCCCATCCCTCTCCCCCGCGAAAGTCTCAGATCATCCGCTTTTCGGGAGCTACCTTCGCCAAACTCACATTTGCATCCTGAGGTAGAAAACCCGTAGTGAAGGTCTTTGCATTGATCGCAATGCTGTCCGAAGACTCCCTCTTTGCAAATGCAGTGACCAGTATAGGGATCGCAGACGGTCGAGTTACTTCCGATGGGGTTGCATTTGCACTCGATACACTTCTGAGCGATGTCTCCGAATCCGACGTCGCATGTTTTACACGTACGGCCTCCGAAACCAGGATGACATTTACATTGCCCCGTGACGGGATCGCATTGCATCTCCGAAGAGCCAACGGGATCACATTCGCACGCTGTCGGGAAAATGCGGTCAATTCATGGGATGATCGTCCATCATGTTGCTCGAGAGTCGGAGAAGAGCGAAGGTATTCGTACGTATGCGTACGCGGGAAGCAATCGGCCAGAAGCAACATACCTTTGCAGTCGGGTATTTGCGGATTGCCATAGAAGAGTTTCTTGCATCGACTGCAGTTCCAACCGTCCGTATTGCCGAGACAATAATTGCAGTAACCCGTGCGATGATCGCACCAACCTTTCCGGCTTTTGTCGACATTGGGACCGCATTGGCAGGGAATGCACTTGCCTCCCGGAACGGTAGGGTTCCCGAAGTAGCCTTCCGAGCAGCGCTCGCAATGTTTCCCGGTGTAGCCGGGCTTGCAATTGATGCACTCGTACTCTGCGGAAACGAGAGACTGTGTGTATGACGCGCGAAAATTTCCGAAAAGAAGGAAAAAGTCGATGACCCGATCGGGAGGTAAGCCCACCTGTCTCAGAGACTGATTTACAGCCGTCCGCGAAATTATTGCTCGGGATCGTCAATGGACAAGCGCAAGGTTTGCAGTCGTCCTCTTTGCCGATGGTCGCGTCTCCGTAGAAGCCGAACTTGCACTTCTCACAGAAAGTTCCCATCGTGTTGTGAAGACATGGTCCGCACTGAGCCGTATAAGGATCGCAGCGGTCCACATGGTTGTTGCACGGACACTTTTCGCATATGCCCTTGACAAGCGTGTTATTAACTCGGCGGTATCCCTTGGCGCAGAGCTCGCATGAAAGGCCCTCGTAGCCTTCAGGGCAGAAACAGTGCTCGAGGAAAAGAGCTTTTTCAATGCTGTTCACCTCGGTAGAGGCTACGGGCATCGAAGCATTGTGCAGCCTTGAATTCGAAAACGCCCGTAAGCAAGCTTAACTGGCAGAAATATTCCGACGTCTACTCCGCTGCAAGTAGAACCCACCATCCGGCGTATTGTCCTTTGTGATAACGAGCTCTGACATAGAAGTCTTCAAGGTCGTAGAGGATCACGGTGAAATCCTCGCGAGAGACCGGCTCCTTGCTGAGCTCCCCAGTGTCCGGGTCCGACACGTAGTAGAATCCGTGTTCGCGGAGAGGATTCTGAATGTGGTACTGCGCTTGTTCATCCGTCGGCTCTGTGGTGAATTACTTGCGTTTGGTGATGTTCAGATCGAAGCTCTTTTTTTCATCTTCGCATCCAGAGCTACATACGGACATTGCCTCGAATGGAAAGCCGCTCAACGGTATCCGAGATAGAGGAGAGATCCCGCGGAAAAAAATATTGTACTCACTGACATCGGCAGAAACCGCTCCGATCAGTTTGCCGTTCTTGCCCCTGAGAACAATATCAGCCCTCTTATCCAAGAAACCTCCCTCCGAAACGTCTCCTCTCGACGGCTCGAACGACACTTTGACGTCCGGGGCAGCTCCGTAGGAATTCATCTGGAGATCGAACAGATCTGTTTCAGCGCGGGACACGGACTCGGATCTTCTGCGGGCGACTATTTCCTCTCCTCGATCGTCGCGCGTTGTACGTACCTTCGCTCCGACGTATTCGCGAGGTGCTTTCCAATACAGGATTTTGTCGGCAGGATTGAAGGTGGCCAAGTCCAGGAGAGCCTCCCTGGTGGCTCCAGGGAAGTCTTCACTAGGGTGAGTGGGTAGTTTTTGTTGATTGTTCAGATCGGAGACCTCCCAGTGGGCGGGCTCTTTCTCGATAATCCTCACGGGTAGATCACTCTCTTGACAACGATTCGTGATACCGAAACAATAGCATTCCGCGCATCCGTTCGGATTGTTGAAGTTCAAGTTGTAGAAACCTGCCTTGCATTGATTGCAAGTGATTCCTTTCACGTGCGACTGCAATGAGGAAGAATCCTTAATTCTTTCACATTGTTCGATGTGTACAATCCACTGGGGACGGATTCCAGACGGATATTCTCCGACGCCTTACCTTGCATCGGCAGTCATCGGCATCGCAATCATTCACGGCAGCGCCCCGGGGATCGCAGCTGCATTCGATGCAGCTTGAACCGCTTTTCCGATATCCGATTTCACATTCCGTGCAATCTTTCCCCGTGTACCCGGTGGCACAGATACATTCGCCGGGCTCCTGAGCAAATATTCCGCCATGAGACAAATATTTCCGTGCTCGGCGCTACAGCCTTGTCGATATCAAAGCTTGGAGACATCTCCCTATGGACTCAACGTACGCGCCGATCGAAGGAATTGTCCGGAACGCAGTCTCCACTCGCGCCGTCTTTGCCGCACTTGCACGGTATGCAATCGTCATGGGGCAGCATATTTGCCGTCCTGTAGAATCCTGGTTTGCATTTTTCACAAAATTGACCGGCGGTATTGCCGGTACAGTGAACACACACCGAGTCCGCTTGTTCGTCGAATCTGCATTCCGTTGCGTGACCGTTACATTCGCAAGCTGAAATCCAACTCGAGCTTTACGAATATTTCTAGTTTCCCAGTCCTCTCTGAAGTCTCTCGACGGTCCATCTGACGGCCGAATAATTTCTGAGAGCTCTGGTCCTAATGGTCCAACAAGCCTGCGCAAAACTCACGAGTGCATGTATCGTTTCTGACCCACGGCTTGGCGGAGAATTTAGGACAGCATTGATCGCAGTGTTTGCCGCAAGTATTGTGCTCGCATTGGCACCTCATCTGGCCTGAATTCCCGTCCGGTATGCATCGGGAAGCGTGACCATTGCAGGCACAACGACCTCTGATTTCCACGTCACTTATGGCATAGAAGAACTGAAGGAGATGAGAACAAATAATGGCACTTTAGCTCCGGTTTATATGCCCATACATGCCTCTCACCTCCCGTGTCGGCTCTGGCCTCAGATTTTCCGCGAGACTTACCTCTTTTCCGTCTTGACCGAACTTGGTGGGAGAGGTCACGGAACTTTTCTCGCCTTCGGGGGTACTGGCCAACAATTTCTGCATTCGAATTCGGATATACCGAGCTTTCATGAATTGGCGCAGAGTGTCGCCGTTTGCGGCTTCCCCAGAGCGACCTTTGGTCGTTTCAAAGAAAGCCATCTGGTTCCCTCCAGGCGCCGAGAAGTATTCCGTGCAGATAACTTGGTCGTCCGTCTGATACGACGGGAAGTCTGAAAATCGACAGGAGTTTCGTCATGTTATAATCCGCGAAGCAGGTTCACGCACTAGCGGAATGAGAGTCGGACGAAGACGTTCCGTACCGGGTGTTGGGTTTATCCTGTACGCTTCCCAGCATTCCATGTTGGAGATCGCGTGGAATTGCCAAGGCAGAAATGTGACACCGTCTACTGATTTCTCCAAGATCCAGTTTCCTGGTCTGTTGACTTTGTGGGCTTTGAGCACAACTTCAGTGATCTCGTAGACCTTGAGATTTGCAATCGTACCCATTATGCCCAGCGTGATTACGATAATGAGGTTATACGATGCCTCAGGTATGCTGCCGTAGAAAGGTCGTCAATTATTATTGCATATCGAGTTTGGTGGAAAGGCTCTACCTCATTGAGATTTATGGTGATCGTAACGAAGTTCCTCTCGCCCTCGTGCAATGACGGACTCTGCCACCAAGTATCCCTCCGACCATCCAATATATCCTGGACAGCATGCCGATTCTGATTGCTGTCGCAAACCTTACAGATTGACCCGAACTCAGCCGAGTAGCAATAAGTTTCTGGTCTGCTCTCCCCTGGAATCACGATGTTAGAGTGTGACTCGTCATTGAGATGCTCCAATTGTCCGCGGAACCGGAACAAAGGTCCAAACCACTCACCGCACGTAGCATTCGCTTTCGCATTCGCTCGCAAGTGTAAGTCTTGAATTTCTGGGTACAGCGGATAGAACGCCTTCGTCGAGGCAAAACCTGTAAAGCAAGAATCCTTTTGGTCTGACCGTGTCGGCACGCATGATCAACTCGAACGCTCATGCCTAAGCAATTTCGATTCTGAAGTCGGCCCGAACAGATGTTATCGATGTCTACTATCAATGAGAAAGTATTTCGCAACTTCGAAGACTCCGCAATCGAGCGGATGAGCCCGAATTCGAGGAACAGTTCGAATGTCGTGTGAGCTTTTTTCTAGTATTCGTGATTATATCCCCTACTGAAGCTTCTGCACGAGATTCGGTACTTGTCCCTGATAGGCCAGAATTCCGGTGCTCTCGGGGTTTCCCTCTCCCCACCAGCTTCCTGAAGCATTCTAGATCGCTTACACAAATAAGAAAACTCGGGGCATGGACTCGTGTCGGCCACCTATCGGTTCCCCCAATTTAAGGAATGCTCAGCCCTTCGATTCTGCTCACGATGACATCGTCGAAGACTCCCGAAGCGAGCGCTTTTATCGGACTGCAGAGTCTATATACGGCGCTGGAGCGCCCACGCAAATCCTGCTCAATCGAAACCGCTTTCACTTGACAACCCGGTACAATATCGATACAATGTGTCCTGATTGCATTCCAGGCGACCGGAACAATGCATGCAGCGCCTGATCATACCCAAAATTATCAGACCCCCAGCTCTCACGTGAAAAACCTTGGGAACTCCTGGCATGTGAACACGGGTCGTTTCGGAGAATGGTCGAGGAAGGAGGCTACATTCGGATAATCGCTAAGCCAGGCCAATGGCTTGAATTCTATGGATACTGAATGATTGCCCAAGAGCACGGAGCCCGAAATATCCACGTCAGAAATTTTGACAGCTGACACATGTGCATCTGTTTCTCGAAATCGCGCCGGAGTTACATGGACGATTCAGGCGATTCATTCGGAGATGAGGAGCGATTACGGTACAGCTGTCGGTAATACATCAATGATCGGCAGGTGAATTCAAGAAATCGGTGATTCCCTTTCCCGGGTTCCCCGTCAGTGGATTCAATATTTCCAATTCTCTCGGAGCAGAGCTTGCGAGCAGATGCTCCGAAGGGATTTCATGGGGAAGGCAATGACAGAGAAGGGCGCGCGTTTATCTGCTCAGATCGGGATCCGGACTACGCCGGAATCGGAAGGTGAACTCACCCGTGATAAGCACTAGAAACACTAAAAACCTCCGCGTCTCCGGCGAGCGCATCTTCCTGCCGGTCATCTCCCACCCCGCCGAAGTAAACTCTGAAGTTTCGGATCCAGCGCATCGGCGCTTCAGCGAGCGTGGGAGGTTTCGGCCCAAGAAAGCACACTGGAGAGGGCGAGCGTATCTGAAGACGAGGGTGAGCGAGGCTCAACTTCGTCAGCTGATCTGAAAAAACATGTGGCATCGATCTAATAAGTGAGCGGTGGCTTCTCCTCCGTTCCCGGATATTTACGCTTCCCACAATTTTTTCTCCCCCCCCCCCCGCAGTCGCCTAGACTTTCTTGGGATCGAAGATGCAAGTTTGGGATGAAAATATTTTCTGATCGTGTCCGCGTCGATGATTCCTGATATTATGATATCGCGGTCATCATGCGCTGCTTCCAGTGATGAGGATAATCTCCCGAGCACAATGTTCATGTGATCACTGAACGGTTCGAATACATCTCGATGAGACTGGCAGCGCTCTCCACACGAGTTCTGGCTTCATAGCCAGAATCCGTGTGGCCAATGAGCAACTCTGCTCGTTCATTCCGCTCGGAAAATCCGCGAGAGCCATCATCCCGAGTTACGGGGGAAATCTTCTTCGAATCGGATTCTTCTCTACGTCCTAACCCGCGGACTCGGAGCGCGGAAAATGACCTCCGTTCACACCGAGGAGATACCGGCTGACGGACAGGAGCAAGGCATCCCCTGCGCGAGGCAGCAAGGATGTGCAGCTTGTTTTCAGTGCCGGACTTCGAAATATCCACGGAAGAATGGCGCTCTCAGGCAGGAAATTCCATCAAAATGGAGAACTCGTTCATCCGAGCCATAAGGAGCTCTACGATATGCGGAACTTTGGCTGAGTGCCCGCGCAGCGAAGGCCGTCGGAGACAGTTACCTCGGTTTAAAGGGGATTCCTGAGATTTCGACGCAGAGAGCGGGGACACCAGAGCCAAGAAAGCGATTCCGGACAGGCAGTCTCGATCGGTACCGAGGAAACCTCTCTCGTACGATCGTGAGCAATCAGCCAGGCGTACGGTCAATCAAACCGATCTCCACACAGAATGAATCAGAGGGAGAAAGAACTCCGCCGTCAGTCTTCACCGTCGACGCTGCTATATAGATGCTGTAGGCGAGACTCGTTCGCTTCGATGACAGAAGCAGGATCTCGATGATCTCACACAATGCTGGATGTGCCTGTGTGTGTTCCGCTCCCGGCATTCCCCGTTTCGCAGTTTCCTCCATGAGCCGCCGTAAATAAAGAACCGAAGTTTCGTCGATCCTGGAGCTGTGGCAAAGACACCGATGAGGCGAGTGGGACTTCCCCAAAAGCTAAAGATTCCCCGGCTGATGAGAGGTATGACCCGCGAGGGAAAAGCGTGAGTTTCCATGGAGAGCTAGGGGAAAACACAGCGCTCTCTTTCGAGTCCTTGGCAGAGATTGTTGTTGAGGACACCTAGTTACCCGTGAGTAGCCCCTGGTTTCACGATCTGGACTTCGAACAAGGCCTGCAGCCAGGAAGGACGATCTTGGATTGAGAGGGTCTCAGTATCCTGATCCGAATGGCGGGACTCCTCCTCTCGTTCTTGGTGGTCGGCACAGAGATGATTCCACCCTGTGGAACAGAAAATAGAATCGTTCTCGACGATTCTGAGCCGCTGAATATATCCTCACAAGTGTCAGACCTGTGGAGGCATCTGCCGTTGAACAAGAGCGAGTTCGCACATTTTTCGAGATACACCCCCAGTATCGAGCTGCCCCCTTACAACGAAGTCATCGGATGGACGAAACGTAAGCTGCGCGTCTCAGACAGGCTCTCGAAAGTGGCAACTGCTCATTGCAGTCACGTCGTTGCAGGAATGTGCCTTAATGAAACTTCCGCCTATCAACCCTTCGGTTACGTGTGGGTCCCTTCGGGACAAGACGTGCCTTGCAGCTCGTACTGCGGTCGGGGCAAAAAAGAAGCGTTTCTCTTTGACGGAGTCTTGAACCACGCCCCGATCGCCACCAGGCGATGCGTTACCCACGGTTCCTCTATCCCGAACGGGAGATGGACTTGGCGTCATTCGCATGAGCACCGCGGCAGATGCGCCTGCAAATACGGCTTCTATTACGCCATCATGCTCGACGACTCGGGCCAACCTAAATGGGTGTGCAGACGAGAGAGTTCACATCGGGCGCGCCCAGGTAAGAGATATATACGTTGCGATCCATGATGACGAAGTCGGGCTGGATAATGGGCCGGTATGATGTTCCTGGTTAATGAGGAATATTCACAAGTCGATATGCCGCCGCAAGCTTCTCGGGAGCGCTTCGTCGCGCAATTTCTGAGCGGAAAGTGCGCGCTCCAGGCCGTTTCCCCTTCCCGGGAGAGAACGCTGAGGCATCGCTGGTCATTTCTCGCTGAGGCGAAGATTGAAATAAAGGACCGTCAGGACGAATTCCATGAATAGAATGTTTTCATTCATGTGACACCAATCATCGTAGCCGATAGAGCAGGGTAGTCTGAAATTTTATTGCGCGCACTAAGTCTTCTACAGAGGAAAAGTCGAACGCACACCATCGATGGATGCTTCCCATGCAAATAAATGTGCGGATAAGTGTCCATGCTACACACCCCTGCCCATAATCGCGAGACTACTTCCCGTGCTGATTCGCAATACGGCCGTTGGATGGCGCTGACGCATGCCCAAAACAAACGAACAAACCGTCGTTCGGTCGATCATCAGCACTCGACACTCATCACCACTCGACACTCTGTTTTTGTGTTTTTTCTTCGACCAAAACTGTTTCCGTTTCTGTTGTGGACGTTCTTCGAAATGAGCTGGGCGCGTTCTGTCTTCTCGGTGGCATGTCTCGGCCTCTGTCTCATGACAGTCTTCAACCTGGCTGTTGTGTTGAGTTTCCCTGACTTCGAGAAAGCCGGTCGTCCGGTTTACAGAAGTCGATGTGAACAAGCCTGGGACCTGGCTTGGGATATCATGTTGATCGTTGTGGCATTCTTCCTCCATTACTTGTTGAACTGCATGGACTTGTTCGCCGACTACAGCACAAGCAGCCAGCGATGCCTATACACGATCTTCACCGCAATCATCACGCAAGGTGTATTGTTCTACTGGCGGAGAACCTCTGACTTCAACTTGTGGACCCTCACCGATGTCACTGATCCTGCGAAATACTTCATTCTACTCATTCATGTGATGTCATACCTGCAGCTCATCGCGAACTCAGTCTTCGATGAAGCTATCGAGACCTACGGCTTCAGGAACTGGTCGACGAGCACGAGCGAACACTCGGATTTTGAAACCTCGTCGTATTTCAATAAATCCCAGGAGCTCGCGCGGCTCGAGGGACGCCTGCCCTCGAGTGGAGGTTTGTTGACCCTGGTCATTCTGTTCCTTGCGTATCCCGTGATGCCGATGGAGCGCGCTCTCGCATCCCTGGTCTTGATTTCCTACAATTTCTGCACCTCGACTCTCGACGAACAGGACTATTTCTACGTGCGGAGGCATTTCTTCAAGAAATGGGATGAACTACTGAAATCGAACCGATTGTATGAGTACACCGCCTCCGCTTTCTCTCAATCGACGGGTGCTGCTTCGAGCGCCGTGGGTCCCAAGAGTTTCGGATCCGCGGCCGATTATCCGCTATCGAGATCATCCTCCCAAGAGAGCTTCTACGTTGAAGAGCTTTCGGCTAGCGTCAGAGACCGAACCACGACAAAGACTGCAACGAGACAATCTTCGAGTAGAACCGAGTCGACGCGAAAATCAGCCAGGAGCAGCCGGAAGCTCTGAGTTTATGACGCGACGCTCTGAACTTGTACAAGGGAGAGTTCCTTTCCCGATTTTTGTAAAGTGCCTTAAGCCTCAAAAGCCTCGATCTCGCGTTAGAGTATGTCGTCGACGTATCCGATGTGGAGCGTCTGAGACTTCAAAGTAGAGTCTGAATATTCTGTGTTGACAGAGCATGTTTACATGAGACATTTGTTATCATTCTAAGCCCGGTGTCGCTGACCACGACTTATTCACAACGATGATATACGTAAATATATCTAGAGCGGATGTCCGAAAAGAATCAGTTTCAGCGTAATCGGTTGAAATGCCTCAAAACTTCACCATGTTGCTGATATTTCAAAGACGGTGAATATGGTGGTCAGATGAATGTTTATATCTACGGAACGTTTCTCATAGCGAGAGTGCTGTATATTGTATCACAGTCGTAGCTGGATACGAATTAGGACTCGCATGTTCGTCCGAACTCTGGCTCCGTTCCCGATACGCCCGAAGAGGGACTCTAGAAAGACTTCGGAGCCGAAATCGAAAGCGCCGCGTTATTCAATCGATCGTGTGGCTCCATCTTTCATGAAAGATGGTGTACATAATATATTTATATTTTTGTACAATAAATCCCGGAACCTGGTCCTGTACTCTCATAAAGACTGAAGCATGACATCCATGTCTCGGCGTTCCATCCTGAGCCATCCCGATTTATTCTGGGCATCGTCAAATCTATCGATACTGACTCATCCAATAGGGTTCAATTAACAATCCGTGCGCGACACAAATTCGTAGGAGGATCGAAGTTGCCGTCCCCCGGAAAATAGAATTCAAGTTTGTTCTCTTAACGTCGATGATCCTACGCGGAAGTCGATCTGTGGCGGATGAGTATTCGCAACGAGTAATTTCATGCTTGCCGGCGTGTCAGCCACAGACGGAAGCGATTCCCGCAGGAGGTCTGTCTGGAGTCACTCCCCGCCACTCCCTGCATTCGTGACTTCGAATCTTCGGAGATTACAGCTAGGCACTTGAAATTATAAAAATTTGAGCGTGAGGATATCCTCCATGGTGGTATCTCGCCGATTTCCCGTGTTCGATCCGCCCACTGCTTTCTCTTCTGGACCGAATTCGAGTCCCGTGTGGAAATTTCCCCTCTCGTTGACTGGATATCCTTGGTCACTTTTTGAGATTCAGAGGGACAGGGATTCGAGAGGGGACCTCGGCGGAGAGAATATGATTTGGGTAAGTAGTCCAGCGGCGACTGACATTTCGACATGCGCTACACGAAGTGATTCAGGAGGAGCCAACCGTAGCCAAAGAGCGTCCCCATGATCCAAACTTTCATTATTATCGATATTCCACTCCACGTAAAGCAGAAGTAGCATAGGGCTATAACGCTTATTGCTAGGACGATCATCTGCCTCGTATGGTTCAGTGGTTTCTGGAGAGCTCCGCCCGGGAATGGTTGCGTGTTTGTGGGGTCGTCATAATACTTGGAGAGCAGCCTGAAAGAGGAAAGGCGTTAATGGAGTCGCTCCGTAAATTCATCGGCGACAGTGGGTGAAACATTCTCTGTATACTTCGCCATTGATATGAGGTGGAAGCCGGAATATGTTTCTCGTAGGGGAACTCACTCTTCCTTCTTAAGGAATTGGTTCAATATGAAGTCCTTGATCTCGGCCTCCTCTTTCGGTATGTCCGCTATAGGGATCCTTTCCAGATGTACATGCACGACTGGACAATCGCCCGTGAAGAGAGCTTGAAATATAGGGATGGATTTCCATTACTTACTACACTTGGCGACCGACAGGGGATCAGCCAATAAGCATCGGGATATATCCTCACGGCTCTTTACCGATCAGAGATGGCGCGCCGACGCGCTTTCCGTCGACCTTGGTGTTATCGTATATGACTGTCAAATCATACAGAGCTTCGACGTTGTGACGCATGTAATCGATTGTTGCACCAAGACCACGCGTTCGAGGATACAGTACGTGATTCAACTACAAGATAGATGAGTTTATCCGGTGCAGAAACCACGATTCCTGCTCGGTCTCCGACAATCTCTGGGACTCGAGTTCGCCAAAGGTGATACCTACGTATGACGGTGAGCGAGGACTCGTGAACTTACCCGTCGAAGAAAATTCTTGTCCGCGAATTTGTGACTTTCCTCCAAAAGTTCGGGTCTATAACGAGTTCCTTCGGGGAAGATTGTCACAATAGTCTGCAAAAAATCGTGCATTCAGCTCACATTCTTCTGACGAGGGCGGGAGTCTACCGGGAACAATAGTTGCGCCGATTAGAAGATGACCTACCGAAATTCGCTTATTTTGGAGGTAGACTAGATTGCGTCTCATCTTCTCGAAATCGCAGTTCTTCCGATTGACATAGATGCACCCGTGGTGATAGAAATAGAACCCGTACAACGGGAACAATTTTATGAAGTCTTTCATGAAGTATCGCATGTGACCGACACAGTTGAACCTCTCGGCCACTGAGTTGTTCATGATCCAATCACCTGCGATCGAGAGGGTCGCCCATGAGATTTCACTCGATTCCGGTCCCGGGTATTGACTCATGCGTAGGTATACAAGGTAACTCACTAGCTGTCTGATGATTACTCATAAGCAGGAAATTCTCTCTTTTATCCATGATGTCTTTGAAGTCTCCGTAAAAATGGATTTCGAGCCCCGCAAAGGTTTCGGCCAGAATGAGCGCGAGTCTCTGATAGTACTCGAAGATGAAATCATCACCTGCGAGGGAATATTTCCAGTCGAGTTGAGACCGACCGCAGATCGGCATCAGGTGGTAAGGTACCCTCGGTGGCTGAATAAATTTCGACTGAGCATACCTCTCTGATAAATATGAGCTGGTAGAGGCAGACTGACCATCCGCCAGATGAACCATGCGATATATAGCGGGCCTGCCGTGCCCAACAACACGAAAAGGTTGAAATAGATGCGCACCCATTTTAACCTGTTTGAATCGACGAGGATCATGTTAAGATTGTCCGATTTCGCAACGATAAGGCAAACACGTGGAACCCTTCCGAACTGTGGCTCTCGCGAGCTCAGGCTGCTCCACGGTGCGCGTACGATTAACAACAAGCTCTGAGAGAGGAAATCCTTGCAGAGAGATCGTTGGCAATCAAAGATACCAAACCGATATCATTCGTTTTGAAACGTTTCTACTCACAAGACGCTCTGGAACGTCATTGAAGATGCTGATCCGCAGTCGGCCTGAGCGCAATCCATCGTGGCCTCCATCGAGAGCCGGCCGTGGAAAACGACAGTGAAGATGACGAGGCTTCGTGGCGATATTTGCTCAGCAACCGCCACGGAGTGCTTTCACGATAGGAGGAGCTTTTCTGTCATGGTTCTAAACACCTTCAGAGGAAGCATGGGTAGCGCTGCACGAACTCGCGTTGTTGTGGTGATCTGGTGCAGATCCTCGTAATCGAATAGGATCAAGGGATGATTCTCTTTACAGAGCTTCTCTGGCGACGGTGTGTCAGCCAAATCTTTTATTCCCCTTCAAATCGATGTTGACGTATTGATTGAGGGCAAGACTCGCTCACGGGGTGAATTCGCGCTCTGACACAGCTAACTTCGATACAAGGAGCAGCTGCTCCGTTACCGGGAAGAGAGCAATCCCTGCATGGTCTGGCCGAGGAATCTTGGACTCGTGGAGTTCCACCTGAAGTTGCATGGCAATCAGCTGAATTTTCCCAAAACACTAGCGGTCTGTAGTCTCGGAGGAGTGGAGGTCGCCATGTTGCATTTTCGCTCATGAAGGAGTCTGCTCTGAAACCACTATAGTCCTCGAGAGCCGAGGCTCTTTTCCAGGTTGAGCGCCACCTAGCGAGCGTTTCTCGAACACGGTGTCCAAGGGACCTCTGCGATCGAAATTCCTGCGCGCTTGTGGTTGTAGCTTCAGGAGGAGGCGTACGCTCAAAGTTCATGCTCACACGGACGGGAAATATTTGGAGCGGCTGATTATTCGATTGAGGTTCCCCTTCTCTTCCGGTAGTAAAATGAACGGAAATACTCGCCTCGCGAACCGACGAACGAGATCGGGCCACGGAGGTGATCTCCTCCCGGAAGAAGTCGATAGCCTCGAAAGACTGCAAATTTTAACTTTGGGACAGAATATCGCCGGCGAGCTCGATGATTCTGTTCCATGAAAGTCATGACGAGAAGTCTCGTCCGGATGCATAAACGAGAGACATACATTTACCAGAGCATAGAAGGTTACCCGATATAGATATGGCCGAAGAGTATACCAAAATGTGGGCTGAAAAGACTACACGAACTCCGATCTGGATTTTCGCTTCAATTGAAGCCTCGTCTATTCGAAGCGGTTCATGATGTGAGCGGAAATCACAGCTTGCCTGGAAGTGTCGCGGTCCCGATTTTTTAATTGCCATGGCCGACACTACGCTCGGCTCCCTGATGGCAACTGGATTGCTTTCCGGGTCGAATCAAAAACGGGAGGGCCTCGATTCGAGGGGTTGAGCTCACGAGCATCCGGATATTCCTGGATTAGTTCGAATTTCGACTTCAAACGAATCGTTGCTCCTCTAGCCTGCTGAGCTTTTCTCAATGAAGACGTCGTCGTGAGCAGTGTCGAAGGAGCCAATTTTATTCTCCCGAACAATATTGGAGGGGACCCCAGGTGCAAAATAAACTTTTCTGACCGATAATAATAATTATTCAGATCTTCGTTCGGTTGACAGCTTCGGAGCTAATCACCGCTCAACTGCTCGTAAAGCTTGGGAACATAATCATCGTATTCAGCTTGGTAGAAATTACCGGCTACAGGCTCTCCAAGTTTATATTTTTTCGCGAAATCTCGAATGTGGAAGCTTGCTCTATTGTCACCACTGCGGTTGGTGAGACGTTTCTCGTCAAAGTTGATTTTTCCTTCCGGCTGCTTGTAAACCAACAATACGTACCGGTGAAGACCTGCAAAATCATAAGGGAGCCATCTTCAGGCTTTTGATTCCGATATTCACTTGATCCCCCGATCCCCGGGGGGAGTGGGGTCGACGGGAACTAGTACGTGATAATGGGCTCGTGAGCAAGTTATCACACTCGCACTAGTAGATTGAGATCCTCACCGGTTCCTTTCGGAGGTCCAGCTCCCACGTATTCGGAGAGTGTTTCGCCTTCCTGTATTCTGTCTCCTGGAATGTTTCCGACGAGCCAGTGGTGCCACTCACGATATTTCGGAGCTTGTCGGGTAGGTGCATCCGGATCGGTCATACACAGAGTATAAAAAGCTTCGGGTTCATTGGGGTACGAGATCTTTGGGATGTCTTTCGATTGAGTCGGTGTGAGAATGTTGCCCAAATTGACGCGGGCCTCTTGGTAGGTCACCTGAAACACGAACGGAACATCGGAGATATCGATCCAGGGCGATCACTATGAGTCACACCGAATGACCTGCCTCCCCGTATCGCTGGAGATCGAAAACACTTAAAGCTCATTATTGACCACTCGCATTAAGTGGATCAACCATCGTTGCGAGCCAACACTCAACAATAGTCGAGTCCTCCGCGTTTACATATGTATGTCTCTTCCGGCTCACAGCGAATAGACAGCTCAACCTCGCTCGCTCCTCGGAAACGATTGTTGACAATCTGTTGTAACAAACGACAAAACGATTAATCTTCCCTCGCGATAGTGATCTGAATTTGAATTGACTCACGCAGCCGAATCGAAGCTCAATTTGGCCAGAGCTTCACGAGGCGCGACTCGCGGTTTAGACCACTTTGGAGCGCATCTACCTCGGAGTCTTATTCGAGTGTATCCGCGAGGGGGCAGAACGGGGGCAAGTTATTCGGCCCGATCATCAATGTTTTCGGGAGAACTAAGCTCACATCGCCATGTGGCAGACTGAATAATCCCACAAACCTCTCGAGCTAATATCGGAGGCCGAATTTTCGCTATGAATAAGACTCGTCCGGTTGCACAAGGAAGCTGACGACCGACTCTTTCGAAGCCCGAGTACGTCTGAGAGGACCGAACGACGAGATGGTCGAAATCTCAGCGCGCTCTCTCCGCGAGAAGCCCCGGGCCGGCCTCGTGACTTCACGGGAGAAACACCGCTCGAGTCCCGATGGGTTTTCACTGTCCCAATGAAGGACTCCCGCCGGTTCTCCTCTCGGACTGCAATCTCGGGAGCTCAAACGCCAAAAGTTCCCAAGACCATGCCCTCTTTGATCCGCTGATTAGCTGATCGAGCTGTCTCTCGTCCGGGACGCTAGCTGCGCGACTGGACCTCCTCAATTTTTCCTGATGAAATTCGCAACCCCTGGCATCTTCTGGCTGGCGGAGCGAAGATGCCAATGATTAGATCTCGGAGCGAGGGCGCGGAAACATCATGTTCGGAGGTCGCCAGGGACTTGAACAAGTCTGTTAACGCAAGAGCTATGCTGGAGTTCGAGCCGAACGGGAGCTCTCCCACAAGGCCATTCACTGATCCTTCCGACAGTTTTTTGTTTCATTCTTGTTAAATTGAGCGCTGCTCAAGCGATAGAGGACGAACATCTCCTGCAGAAGAACGAATAGAAGGCGACGGGGCACCCTGGAGCAAATTATCCGTCAGAGTCTGAACTGCGCAAGCGAAACTTTTCGAATCCGGTCTGCTCTCCGCTAGACATAGACGTCGTCGTTCGATCGTTCAACCGATCGATCCGCGAGACAGGTCTATAAAGCAATGCTCAGAGAACGATTCTTCCGAATGAGCACTATTTATTCAGATAGACTTGGCAAGACGTAGTCGTCGTGGCTTCTCAAACGCCCAGCGACGTAGCTGAGTGATTCACGGTTTCCTCCAGACAACGAGTGCTATTTGGAAGGGGAAAGATTTCGCTCCTCTCAAGATCTCGCTGGGATCTGGGTTCCCATGCGCAGCGCTTTCGGAAGTCGCTATCGAATATATCGGTCGGCTTAATCCGAGGCTTCTCTCGGATATCGCTCACGTCATTCCGTCGAGTGCCGATGCTTATGAGGGTGGGAAGCCTCAAGAGACGAAACAAGTTCGGTGGGCTCACTTACCTCAATAACGTTAGTGGGAATTGTGTCGATGACGTCTGGTATCACCTTGTGTTCGTCCATCGCGATTTTCAATGCAGAATCACTTCGGACGCACTGCAAACCGCTCCCACTGCAAACAAGAAACACCAGTAGGACACGAGCGACGATCGGCGGGCGTTCCCCCATCGTTCTATCGAGTTGGATTGTCCCGACGATTGAACTCGTTCACGGCGCGGCTGTCGGTCGCCCCGAGTCAAACACAAGAAAGCTACACTTGTTGAACGATCGAAACTTTGACAACGGAGACGTCGAGAACCGTATGCCCGGCGAGACAGAGCCGCTATGACTGTACGAGTCTCGACTGTAGTCTCCTGGGCCCTTATTTTCGATTGGCTCCTCCGTCGTCAGACGGGCTCCGTGTATCTCACCGGACAGGATTTACCCTCTCTACTTTCTTCATTAAGGATACGTTCGCAGGAGGGCCAAATCAAGAGGTGCGATGCAATAGGAGAGAGAAACGGGAGATGAAACGGTACGATAGACAAAAACACTTCACGCAGCCCATCGAGTCGAAGGTTAAACGTCAGTGAAGACGATCCCGTCGACATTAGAGCGAGCAGTTGGTTGAGCCGAAGGCGGAAAAAATCGTCCCGTCCCGACGCACCTGTATGGCGTATCCGCGGAACTCGCTGCCGCTCAAATTCAGGGAAAGTCTGTCCCTCGAAACGCTTCTTGAGGTGGAAAAAAAGAAAACAACACGAACCAATCCTCGCTGCCACTCTGTTCCATGCTGTCGCGGTAGTGTTGGTCTCTTTCGGAGTAGTTTACGCACTCTCTCACTTACACGTTTGCTTCGCTGCCAGCTAGCTCGCTCGCTGGCCGAATGCACGCGACACACTCACAAACGAACGCAGCAGCGAACAACGCCCGCCTGTCGTCCGTCAGTGAGGACTAGGATAGAAACACAACGACGACAGACACGAACACGACGAATAACAAACCGAGCGAGGATCCCTTTCCCAAACGGAGGCTTACCTTTCGTTAACACTGTTTTCGTTGCCTGTAGGAAGCTCTCGGTGGCGAGTAGTCGTCGAGAGGCGTTCGGTGCTTATGACGGTGTCGGTCATGGAAGAAGAGGCCACTCCTGCGCTGAGCTCTCGTGTTCCGACACTGAGCGAGAAAATGGATTCTACACGCGCTTCTGTTGTTATTGTCCTTTCAGAAGCAGAAAGCTTTCTTTTTCTGAGCCGCTGCTGCTTTTGATCTCATCGTGTTCGTTGGTCGGAGGTGGGGTGAGAAACCCGGCTTGCACCATCACACGATTGTGCGGCACTTCTGTGCTGTCGCTTCAGTGGCCGGAATGGCGCAGACTGATTGAATGTCATCTCGAGAGGGTTGCGCTGGGTCACGCCTCCATAACGACAACCGAGAGTCCCACCGAGCCTTTGAGACGGCGTGGCGCAACCCAGCGTAATTTGCCGTGACCGCGCAGTCTCTTCATGGAGTCCGGTATGATCTTGAGGGGATACCGGACGCTATCCAGCAAGATCCCATAGGATTCAGATGATATCGTGCTGGCATGCTGCCGTCATATCCCGGTGTGATCGAACATGATTCACCGATGAGATCGAGCCTTGAAGTACACCTATGTCGAGAAGAAGGAGGGGGCAAGGGGAGGGAGGATCGCCCGATATGGCTCGAGATTTCAGCAGAGATCATTATTGGATTCGCTCCAGAACTCGGAAATCGCGTCTCGAAAAGAAACTCGAAGCCTCCCCTTCGAGATATCTTGCATCTTGGACCTCACTCACGCTTCTTCCGCTGCGCGTTGCCACGAAGTACGCCGCTTCGAATGTAGGGTGCACATAGACACGATTCGTCGCTTGATTCTCATGGAATCCACTATATCGTAGTCCCCTCTCATGGGACTCGGACGCTCAAGAGCGGCACATACGTTGAGAGGTCCTCCAGACGACCGACTGGCGGGACAAGTTTCGCCCCGTAGGTCATACGCAAGAAGAACGCGCAAGAACCCAGCCCTCGCGAATAATGAAAAGTCCGAGAACGGACTCCGCTCGTACCGGCGGAGACTCGAGAGCTCCGGGCGAGAATATCCCTCGAGCTCTTGTCGGATGCCCGCGCCTGTGAGAGATCGAAGGAAATCGTAAGAGCTCATGCATTCTTCGATTTCAGGCGAAGATCATCAGCATCATCGAGCTTGTTGTCATTCGAACTTCTCTCTTGAGAGTGAGCGAGCCGGCTCGTGAACGCGGAATAGAGTCTCCCAGCTGGTGCATCTCTTCGAGACCCCTGTTCCACTCGCGATGCATTCTCTGAATAACCTGAAGGCGAAACTGAAGGAGCTTGACGACATAGAGAAAGACGTCGCTCAAGCCCTTCACGCGGCGGGACAAGCGCTCACTGAACTCGGTGAGTTAACCTGTTCGATTCTTCCCTTATGGGTCTGCCACATTCGATAGTTCTCATTCTCCGAATGCGAGAGGACTCAGAAGACACCTCACTGGAAACAAGCTCTCGAACAAGGTAATTATCCTCCTCAAAAAGGAAGCCTTGCTTGAGGGTGATTGAGTCGATTCCCCATTTCAGGAAAGGATAAACCTACTTTGAAACCCGTCGAGGCAAATACGACGAATTTCCTTAAAACTCTGCAGAGTGTAGAGAGTAATCTCTCGAAGCATATCGTATACCTAAGCCAAGTGTCTACAGTGCAGCCGCATGAAGGAAGCAACTACGCGGCTCAGAAGGTTGGTTCAGATCGAGGAATTCCCTTCGGTGGGCGGTCATAAGATGATTCTCAGAATCTCCGAACGGCGAATCGGGCGTGAGAATGACTGCGGATTCTCTTCGGAGTCTGACTCGAATTGTTTCTCGATAGGTCTTCCACATGGCTCTCCACCGACTCGAACATGCCCGATCTCGGATGAACGAGCTCGAACGAGTGCGGCAATCTCATCTACAACAGGACGCACAGTACAACCCCCCTATACCGCCTCAGATGCCCCCGCAGCAGCCGCCGATGCGAGGACCGCCTCCGCAACAACAGCCAGGACAGCCTGGCTCTATGGGACCGGGTGGTCCGCAACAAGGAATGATGATGCAGCCGGGCATTGGACAAGACATGGGTCCTCCTATGGGTCAGCCCGGGATGCAAATGAATCCATCCGGGCCTATGGACAGCCCGTTGGGACCAGGAATGGGGCAAGCGATGGGTCCGGGCATGGGTCAGAACATGGGCATGGGTCCAGTATTGGGTTCAGGCATGGGTCACAATATGAACATGGGTCAGGCTCAACAGATGAACCCGATGGGAGCACCCATGGGAAATCAACAAATGATGTGGCAACAGAATCAGATGGGCATGGGTCAGCAGATGGGTATGGGATCGATGGGACCCGGCGGTAATATGGGCCAGAGTCCAATGCCATAGGGTTTTTGTTTCGATAACCATTCACCATTATCATCATCATGTAAATAAACGCATAAGCAGATGATTTTCATAATGTCTCCTGATTAGCGCTCAGCTTAAATTGAAGCGGGTGAGCGAACAAATCACGATCTGTGACGAGTGATGATTGATGATCATTTCGCGATCGCATCTGGGTGCCGCTCCGCGGACCCAGCACGGATCTCCCTGCAGCTTCGAGGAAAAGGACTAGACTGAGAGCTCAGTCAGAACAGACTTGCCCGGATCAGCTCGCTGCGGAGATACATCATTTCTATCTGAATCATGAATCGGGTGGCATCACGGGTTTGCTCGGGGTGCTACGTGGTCTCGCGTGGTAGTCTGGAAAAATCAATCCTCAAGCTACGAAGATATCGGGAACCCCAGGGGCCAGTGTGGGAAGGGTCTCACGTGAGCACATCCTAGAGCAGGGGCGACTAAATTCTCCTCCGATTGGCAGCAGTTTGACCGCTTTCCCTAGATCGTGGGATATTGTGACGGAGATTGAGTCGATGCAGGCTAGTCGAATGCGTAAGTCAGGGAGAGATGCCCCGAGAGAAACCGGGATCGGCAGAACTAGTGAGCGCACGGTCGTAGTGCGCCCTGCCGATCCGGGGAGAACGCGGGACGGTTGAAAAAGGTTGTAACAAAACGACATGCTAGAGATAAAAGATCGAAGGCTGCCGCCGCGCTCGAGGGGCGGCGTTGCCCTCGGGCACGGCAGAGCCAATGGAATTGCAATGGAATTGAGAAAGAGGGAAGAATAAGAACATTCGCAACGAAAGATAGAGGCACTCCTCGTGCGAGCTTTGTGCTGACCAATCGCCTGTTCATTGTGTTCGCCCCCAGCCCTCAATCCGCAGTTCCCCGATACAGTCTGAGCCCCGAGTTCTGAGCCCCGATCGCCCGAGTCCCTTAGCGAGCCGCCGGTGAGCTCGACATTCCGGTTTCCAAGCCCCTTCAGCCCTCGCGATTAGCCCTATCAGCCACTACGAGCTCCCCCCTTAGAGAAACCACGTTACAATATCATCCCGACGAGGTCAATCGTAACTTATCACCAGGCACGGTCGCGGGCTGGCGATGTCTAGGCATCGACCTGGCCTGCACATATGGAGGCCGGGAGCTCTCTCAGGACACAAACGTTGTGTGAAGAATAGGTAGACGAGGAGACATCGACATTAGAGATGCCAGAGACTGCATCTTGTTCCCGGAATCGCAGGAGGAAGTGTTTGTTAGATTCCCCGCGAGCCGCTCGGGATTCGACGAAGACGACAAGAAGGCACACGATTCGATTCCGGATAATTAGGGCCATCTTCCTCGGCAGCTCAACCTGGTGGACGCTCCACAGCTCGGAAATGCCACCAGCTTCCGGAACGATCCACGGGAGCCCCTTCGCGAGAGGAGACGAACCCGATCCGCTCTGTAACCACTGGGAAAGTCGGGAAAGTATCGAAATGTTCGAATGTGCGCCGAATGTGAGACTCTCACCGAGACCATTCGGATGCGCTACGCTCACTCGCGCGACATTCGCGGAACACTATTTTACGGAGTCGTCTGACGGCGCTCCAAGTCATTTCCGATCCCGAACAGACCTCTGTAAGGGGAGGCGCGTCGAGACTCGCTGTGGATGAACGGCCGATGGATCGATCGGAGGATCTCTTATTCGGCTCGAAGAAAAACGTTGGTTTCTGGCGCAGAATTTGAACTCGGATGCGGAATCGAACACATCTGTCGCTTTCCTCAGTGTTGACGTGTTGACGGTGCAATGTTCCCTCAAAGATTCCACGGAATACCGCTTCCGAAAACTTTGGACTCTTCGAATGATGGAACGTTAGCCCTATACCCGTCCGACGATGAATTCGCCGACTTCCACGAGGAGACAAGGATACCTTTGGTGCCAGTAGCGGAAGAAGTTCTCAAAGATCCAAGGAGCAAACTCAGTATTCGACCGAGAAGTATAGGGGTCCTGAGGTATTGCTCGAACGGGCCTCGTCCCGTCTCCTCTAGATTAGGGGTTTCTCCGATGATCGCGAGGCATGTGGAGCGAGCGCGGACATTACAGTCCCTCCTCCACGATGCCAATGAGAGCTCACCTGGATTTCGGCGGCGCTTCGACACTATCTCGAATCAGGTAAAGATTTTCCTTGGTCGTGTCATAGGACGCATTGAATACACAGAGCTCCCCTGCATATCGTCCGTCTACTTCGAATACGATGGAACTGATGAGTCGAGAATCATGTAGGGAACGTTCGAATTGCAGGCAATCTCGCTCATAGTTGGAGGAAGTCTGGCGAAGGGATCCCAAGCCGCACTTGTTGCGTCAGTCCTCTCAGAGACCGCTCTACTCTGCTTGAGGATAATCAGTAACAAATTGGGTACGGAAAATATCCTCCGCGCACCCCACACCCTCACCGAGTCGGCCTTCAGGCTTCTGAAGAGACTGGTCTTCCAACGGAATGGTTGCGGCAGAGAGGAGATTCAGATCGCCGCGCGGAACGTCGCTTGGTTCTTGGCGGTCCAAGTTGAGAAAACGCCCGCGCAGCACGCGAGCAGTGTCGTGCAGGAGCTCATGAAATGGAAAATCCTCATGAACCCGTTCCCCCGAGCATGGGAAGTCGTCGAATGGGCTCTTCGGCAGCGTTTACTCGAGCACATGCTGACCCTTCACGAAATGGATGACATAAGACCCGTATTCATCCCTTGGTATCGCGTTATGGAGCCGCGCCCGATAACTGATGCCGCCTCACTTTGGCTCTCGAAATTTTCCGTTCGCCAATTGGAAGACCGTCCTGCGCAATTGTCCCGGAATTTGGAGACTCTGCGGATCGCTTTACGCATGGCTTCGACGTTAGAAGTGTGCCGACTCGAATCCTCCAGCTCCAGATGGCGGGAATAATGTGGCGAGCCAGGATGACGATTCAAGGAGCGATTCGGTGAATTGTGGAATATTCTTGCGCGCGCGTGAGGGTTTTAATCCGAAAGGAACTTGGTGCTCCATCGTGAGATAGTTTAGTAGAATAAGTTTGAATGGTGCAATGCAGAACTGAGGGTTCGCTCATCCAGCGTGTGCTTCACTGGCATCAATCGGAAGAATATTCATCGCTCGATCGAACTTCCAGCGGGAAATGAGTCGAGTAATCGTTGCGGCCTCTGAAGCAAAAGAATATGTCTCTCGATTGTCTCGTCCCTCGAATATTCAATCCATAGAGTCGTCGCTCTTCGCACACCTGCGTGCTCGACGAAGTCCCCGGACCCGCACCGCGCAGAGACGGTTTCGAAATCGTCGCTCACGTTCGATTTTGTGCTGCGTCCTGCCGGGCGCCGCTGTCGAGCCGTATACCAACGGGTACCCGGCTGTGGGGGGCCGGCGGTCTGGCTTACATTTGACCGCCTGATGAGATGGCGGCAGCCTCCAGATAGATAGCTCGGCGGCGATCGCAGCGCTCCCGGCGCGTACATGCCTGAGCCCGCGATTCCGAGGATTCCAGAGTTGCGCGAGATATTCTCCGGAGAATCATGGGATCGTCATTGGCCTGAAGAGAGCAGTCTGTGGTTTCCTGTTCAATCATTATGTTCGTGAACCGAAGAAGAAATAAGACTCTGAACTGAGGACACACTGGTCCTCTCGAATACAACATGAAGAAAATCAGGAATGCCTCGTGAGCCTCAGGAATTCCGAAACCGAAAGCTACGCCACGCGAAAAATTTGAAAGGAAAATCCCGGAATGAGAAGCCGTCGAGTAAGAGGTCCGGTGACAAATCAAAGATCCTGCGTGGCATCCATCGCTGCTTCACGCTGCCAAGACCTCGTCGGTACCTGAACGTGGTCGACGGTCTGCGATTGCCCTCCCCTCGTTAGATACTTGGTCGAAATCATGCGCTGGGAATTTCGTGACTGTCAGTCGGCTCGTTCCGCTCTCAATCAGTACGCAGGTTGGAATCTCTCATCCACTTCATTAAGAGAATAATTTTCATCGGAACATGTTCTCTCAACCTCTCGCGACGCTAGCTCTTAGCTCCGAGACAAGAGCCGCGGAAGCCATGTGAGGACCCCGAGAAGATCTGGAATGAGGGTCGTTTGTCAACTCTGCTCGCAAGAGGAAAGAAGTTGTGATGTGATCGTTTCTGCGGAGAACCTACAGCACACCAACAGCGACAAGCCTACCAGAAGTCAACCAGGGAGCAGAGCTAACTGAGGCAAGGCCCTCGTCCGGAGCTATTTGTAAGAACGATTCGGTTGCCTATTTTCCCTTTGGTCTCATTATAGCGCGAGTGGCATCGGCAATGAAAAGTATAGAGCGGTACGCCGACGGGTTGGGTGCGCTGACGGGATCCACGGTCGCTCCGCTGATTTGGCCGGCAAGAGGGCCATCCGCCATCTTGCCTGGCGGTCAAATGACGCAGGTTGTTGTTGTTCTTGCAGGAGCAGCAGAGCACACGCCACAAGCCCTACGTGTTTACATTGATGAACGCATTTTTAGCGGGGAGAATTCTGAGTTCAGCGGGGCTGGCGACTTGGTGACTTTACCTGTTTTTGCGAGTTATTCTGGGGTGACGGCGGAATCGATCTAAGAGAAGATTCTTGGACCGAGTAGTGGACTGTATGATGCGGACCCGTACTCAACGCGATATGGATACCTCATCACAAGATAGCGAGATGAAGTGGATAGGTGTGCACTCTTGGGCAAAACAAAGCTTCGTACAGAATACGACCGAAACTTGAGCGAATAAGATCGGAGAGCTCAAGAGAACTCATTCAAAACTGCATGTACACTCGGAATTTTTATTTTATTCATTTATTTTATTTATTAACGGGGCTCTACTGTAGAAAATTTAAACTAAGCCGCCATTGGAATCCGTATAAGTCGCCAAGACGGGCCTACTCGCCGATTCGTCGAGTCGCACGCACCGCTGGACTCAGAATTCTTTCCGCTAAAAATGCGTTCATCAATGTAAACAAGTAGGGCTTGTGGCGTGGACCCGAGCAGCATCTCCCAGTTGTTCTCTCTCTTCCGTCAGAGGAGAATAACCGTGCGGCTTGGGAGCGTTTTTGTCAGCAAAATAGCTTCTAGTAGCCTCAGCTATGCTGGCGAGTGCGGTGACGCTCGAATAGAGAGTGAGAACAGACGAAGACCTCGATCTTGCAGTGAAACCAGAAGAAAACCGGGGAAATGGCGACCATGTCGAGGAACATGAACATCTCTCAGCAGAAGTTCGCCGAGAAGCTCACCATTCTCAATGACAGGGGAGTCGGAATGTTGACTCGGATCTACAACATAAAAAAGGTAGAAATCTTCCTGGGAATGCGGCACAATAGATCGTGCACGTTGTTGGGAGCGCTCCGCAGCGGAATCTGACTAATCAATGCCACAGTTCCGTCGGCTACTGCTGTCAAACCACGGTTGAGAGTTAGCTCTCGACATCGCACGCATAGCTTTGAGAACAGAAAACTCCCCCCTGACCAGAGAAGCTATACATCGAAGATGATCGAGTCCCTCGACCGAGATTCATCGCAGTGCCCACTAATGAGATCTGCGACTTCTTCCAGGCGTGCGGAGATGCCAAGTCGAAGCCTTCCTTCCTCTCGGACAAAAGCCTCGAATCGTCAATCAAACACATTGTGAGACGATTCCCGAACGTAGACATAAAAGGATCGTCCGCCCAGCTCACACCGGTATTCCAAATCAAACAAGAGATTGTCAAGAGTCTCTCTCTATATTACTACACATTCGTGGACCTCCTCGACTTCAAGGTGAGTCGGAAGCGCATCATCGAGTCCTCGTTTATGAGTTGGGGACGGGTCTCAGCTTCTGAAAGTTTCCCGTCTTTTTAGTCAATCGGTCGGATTCGCTTCGTGATAGCGGCCGGCGAGCCCGGTAATGATTTCTATCGTACTGATTAATGACGACCTTCCGGCGCAGCATTCGAGTGACTCAGAGGGTCGATCGACGCCGCGTTCCGGACGAGTGTGAAAAATGTCCTTTGAATCCGTCGTAGTGTTCGGCTCAGAATCTAGACCCATTCTTCAGGCGAACTTCCATTAAACCCCTCCCCCTTTCCAGGACCACGTGAATGATCTACTTACGCATCTGGATGTGTTCCTTATGACACCGAATCTTTCGCTTAATTTCGACCTCACGAAAGCTTACTTGGATCTCATCACGACCTACGTGAGCCTCCTGATCCTCCTGTCGCGGGTTGAGGATCGGAAGGCTGTTCTCGGTCTCTTCAACGCCGCGTACGAGATCATCCACGGCCAGTGGTACGCTCCCTAGCGGATTCCCCCCACACATTCGTATATTCAGTCAAAATAATCTGAGTCCCTCTCTAAGCCTCTGGCGTTCCCTTTCCCCTACAGTGATCAGAGTTTCCCGAGACTCGGACAGATGATCGTCGACTACGACCCACCGCTGAAAAAGCTGGCCGATGAATTCGTCCCCCATTCGAAGATGCTTTATACCGCTCTCTCGTCGCTCGTTCACGTTTTTCCGCGACGGAACCTATCGGCCGACGATTGGCGAAAAAACTATCTGCTTAGCCTCATCGCCCAACCCAACAGTATGCTGACGCCGTCTCAGACTGAAACCATAGCCTGCGAGTACCTGTCGCTGGAAACTATGGAACGCTGGATAATTTTTGGATTTCTACTCATACATCCATTTGTGAATCAACAACAAGGTCCGGCGAACAAACTATTCCTAGCGGCGCTCAACAACGGTTGGGTGGTCACACTTTTTAGAGACGAAGTCTTGCACGTTCACGCTTACGTGCAGCAGTTCTTCGAAGGTATCAAAGGCCTCAACAAAAAAGTTTCCGAAGTCAAAGAGAGCTACAACCATGCTGTGCAGCAGGCGTAAGTTTAGAGGGGAATGATGAGTATCGGGAGAGAGACATGAGGAGACAGACGAATTTCTCCATCTGCAATTTCAAAATGGATTCATCCCGCAGGCCGTTTATTCACCGCGAACGTCGGAAATTCCTGCGCTCCGCGCTTAAAGAGTTAGGTCTATTGCTGACTGAGCAGCCAGGCCTCTTGGGACCCAAAGCTCTCATCGTTTTCATGGCTTTGTCCATGGCCCGGGATGAGGTGAATATAATGGAAGGGAAGTCGAATTAATGCCACGGGAGTTTTTGGTTCCTCAACAAAATTATGCAATCGTATATTCTCAGGTCACCTGGTTGCTCCGACACATGGACAACCCGCCCCACAAACAAGCCAATAAGCAGAAGAATAATCCAAACGACGACCTTCTCGACCGACAATTACCTGAGTTGTTGTTCCACATAGAAGAATTAAGAGGTGTGTGGTCGTACTTACACCGAATCTGATCTCAGTCACACTGTCTAAATGAGCGAAAATACAAGACTACCATATCGTTCTCCCCACAGCTCTCGTTCGGAAATACAACCAGATTTTCCAGCTGTACTTCATCCAATACCTTTCTGGCTTCGATGCCACTGCTTTGAATCTGATTCTATCCAACATGCAGAGTCTTCCCGAGGAAGATTCCCTCATTTTATCCTCAATCTGCCAAACGATATCCACAATGACTGTCAAACAGGTGAGTCGACGAGAGTAACGGCTCGGAGCAAGATGCTGTAGTCCATTCCATCAAACCGAAGCGTTGAATGAATTCAAAGCTGAATCCCGAATGATTTCCTTTGCCCAGGTTGAAGAGAAATGCATTTTCGACCTCCGCGGTCTCCGTCTCGACTGGTTCAGACTCCAAACGAACGCGGCGTCGTCAAAGTATCCCCTGAATCTGGACGGCAGGTCCGATCTAGCCATTTTGATGAATACAATTGTTTTCCATACGAAAATGGTCGACTATCTCGATAAAGTTCTTCAAGAGACCTCTGACCTCTCGGTGTTTTGGTGAGTACCCCGTAATGGGAGTTTACAGTTTTCCCTTTCGCCTGATCTAAGTCGCGTCCAATCAATCGGATCGGTCCCATGGTGAGAAAGTAACGGGTCGAACTCGATTTCAGCTTCTTCAACCGTGCGTTCGAAGAGCAATTCCATCAATGTTTGGAATTCCCAGCCCAGACGCGTTACGTAGTCGCGTTCCCTCTGATCTGTTCTCATTTCATCTGTTGTACACATGAGCTTTGCCCTGAGGAGCGCTACCACATCGGAGATCGCTCGGTAACGATGGCCAATGCGTTCCTCGACGAGATGGCGAAGGAGGCCAAAAATATTATCACGACCATTTGCGACGAGCAATGTTCTCTATCGGACAAATTGCTGCCCAAACACGCAGCATGTCGCATCGCTCAGATGGTGCAACGTCGCAAAAGGGACAAGAAAAGCAATAAGAATGGCCCGCCTATACCTGAACCGGAGGAACCCGGTATCGAAAGCTACCGGAGAACGAGACTCGAGCTCTCTACGTGAGTCTAAACCGTCGATCATGGCCTGATACTCCTAGCACTCGATGCTCTACCTGGCACTTTGTGATGCTCTCTGTTAAAGCTCTGCTCATTAATTTCTCGCCCCACAGGATGGACAAGCTTCACATGGCGTTGACGGAAGTGTGTTATGCCATAAATTATTGTCCCACAATGACAATCTGGGAGCACACTTTCGCACCGCGCGAGTACCTAGCGAACCACTTGGAGACCCGTTTCGCGAAGGCGCTAGTGGGCATGGTGATGTTCGATTCCGAGTCTGGCGACATTGCCAAGCCTACAGAGCTCCTAAGCTCCGTCCGGGCCTACATGAGTGTACTGCAGGGCATTGAGAATGTCGGTGAGTTGGGGTGGCGAGGCATTCGGATTAGTCGCCACGGAAGGAGGGAGGGGGCTAGCTATGACCTCGCAGAAGTTTATTCTTAGCTTTTCACCTCGGGGAACGTCATTGACTTCAATGCCATTAGAGTAATGGCGATGAGGCCCTATTCTCCTGTTTATGCTGATGGGGTCTGTTCCGTATCGTTGCAGTGTCCATCGATATAACTCGAGTGTTCAATCACGTGTTGCTCCAGCAAACGCAAACTCAGGACAGGAATGGAGACAAAACCATCACTTCCCTATACACGACGTGGTATCTCGAAGTTCTGCTGCGAAGAGCCACGGCTGGTCACATTGTGTTTTCGCCGTTCCAAAGATCATTCGTTACTATTTCCCAAGACCCCCAAATTCCCTACACAGCTGAAGAGTACTCCGATGTCAACGGTAAGCTGGACGACCTTCGGAAGCTCATTGCGGATCTAGGACACCACCGTGGCGTATCTGACGATGAGAAAAGCCTCTATCCCGACGAAGACTGCACTGACACGAGCCTAACTTGCAGAGCTGCGCGCGCTGGCCGAACTACTTGGACCTTATGGAATCAAGCATTTGAATGAAAGCCTTATGTGGCATGTGGCATCTCAGGTTTCAGAGCTGAAGAAGATCGTGGCGCAAAACCGAGACGTACTGACAGAGCTTCGGTCGAGCTACGACAAACCGGAGAAGATGAAGGAACTCTCCAAAAACCTTCAGATGACAGACAGTGTCCTCCAAAGAATGACCATCATCGGCGTGATTCTCTGCTTCAGAGAACTCACGCAACAAGCTCTCCACGATGTACTCGAAGACCGAATCCCCTTCCTCCTCAGCTCTATAGAGGATTTCTATCAGCAGGTGCAGAATGCCCCGAATATTGCTGCGCTCAACGTCTCGGAAATGGCCGTCTCGGCTGGTCTCAAGTGTCGCGTTGATCCTGCACTGGTGCAAGCTCTGCGGCAGTACGGGAAAAATGGTGAGTACAAGCTGCGCATCGCGTCTCCGTTCAGAAGTCGACGTCGCGACAGTGGAAAGCTCCGGGGGAATTATGGGTCGCTGATATTATATTTACCTTTTCCAGAGTCCCCAGACGAAGAGTACCAAATGGCCTGTTTACTCATGGTGTTTCTAGCGGTAGCTCTACCGCGTCTCGCCCGCAGCGAGGCGTCTTTGTACAGACCATCACTAGAATCCCATCAGAACAATATACACTGCCTGGCTCAAGCTATCAACGGTCTGGCTGGTGCACTGTTCACCCTCAGTGGACAAAACGATATCGAGGATCGTCTCAAAGAATTCCTCGCGGTAAGTCCATAGCGATATGGATTGTGGAATTTATATTCTACGATTATTTCTGTTAATCCTTCTAATGTTGCTCGGAGAATTTTCTTGCCTGTCTTCTACGCGACATTGAAATCAGACATGGCCTTCAAGGGAAATCTGTCTTGCAGCTTGCTTCGTCTTCGATGCTGCGACTCGGCCAAGAAGCTGATAAGGAAGCTATCCGCAATCGCGAGTCCGTCTACATCCTCCTAGATTTGATTGTACAAGACTCGCCATTTCTTACGATGGATCTTCTAGAGTCGTGTTTCCCGTACGCCCTTCTACGCAATGCCTATCACGCCGTTTACAAGCCTGATCACGGACTGGCCCATATGTCCGTGTGAAGAGCTGGCTGGGATCGAACGAACCCTCAGAGCATAGAGTGCTGTGGAGCAAACGAGACTCTTATCCGAGGATTTTGCCAGACTTTCTCTCACTCTGGGGGAACATCGACAGATCGTCGATCACCTGGGGAATCTTCCCTGCCTTCGGGGAGGCTTCTACCGATTTCGATCATAGATCTCCAAAGCAGCGAATACACGTTAAGGGACGGAATGACGGACGATAAAGCTTATTTTATTCATTTTGATACAATAATCTTCGAATATTCGCGTGTACTCGTTTCGGGAGCTCAAATTTCGAAATTGTCTCGACAGTATTCTCGAACCATAAATTGTAGTCATGGAAGCATTTTAAGCGAGTCAAATTTTGTAAATAAATTATCTATCTATTGAGTTGTAGCTACAAAGGAATGTTTTGCTCCTTCCTTTCTTAATAGCGGAATCAGAGCTACGACCACCGACGACCTAGCAACGCTGAGAGTCGCGACGATCTACCGTGGCGGATCCGGCAGAGACTAGCAATTATTGCCACGGCTATTCGTCGCCTCGGGGGGAATGAGGCATACATAACTGAGAAGAATGAATTGGTCAGTTGAACCACAGATTCAAGAACGTCTCGTGTCGTGTCTGGGCACAATTTATTTACATTATTTACACGTCTTACATACATTATTTTACGAGCCCCATCTACCATCCCAGGCGACGAGTACCGAGAGGAACACGGTCCGGAGCCTCTTAGGTCGCGACGACGGAGGGACTCAGGTCGTCTCTTCAGGAGCCGCCGAGTCTTCTCTCTCCTGAGCGATTGCAGCTTCCTCCCTCTGTTCCTTTGCTTTCGCTCTCATCTTGGCGAAAACCATTTGCTCGAAATCAAGATCGTCCTGGACGGTCGGCTGACTTGCTTTTGACGGGAATTGGAAAGATGGCTTGTAGTTGCCCGTTCTGTCACTGGTTACACTCGACGTTCCAGGTCGCTCGGCAACGGACTGATCCGATCGCTTGTACCAACTCAATGTGAGGGGATTTTCCGGAAGACCACTCTCCTTCTCGACAGCCGCTTCAGCGGCTTTGATGTTTTCGAATATAACCTGGGCGGTCGGTTTCTTGTCGGAAACCACTAATGCCATAATGCGGCCATACTTGCCAAGGATCCGTTCCAAGTCTTCCCGCTTATAGGTTCCCAGTTGACGTTTCCATCGGATTTTAATCGAGTTCGATGCTTGGCTGGTCTCTTGATGGTTCTCCTGGCGAACCTGAGATATTGTCCTCGCGAGTCGCTCTCTGAGGAGTCGGGACTCCTCCTCGACGATCCTCGAACCCTCTTTCCTGAGTCTTTCTATTTCTTGTTGAAGCTGTCTCTCTCGATTGACCACCTGTCTCTCCTCGGCTGCCCGGCGTTCTCGAGCCTCCAGATCATCTATGAGCTTGCGCCGCTTGATATCGAGTTCTCGGTGTCTGATAGCGGCACTTTCCTTTGCTTTCAGCAACTTATCGTAGACTCCCCGAGTTACGGCGTCCGTCAAGACTCCCAGCGCCTGTCGATGCAAAGAATAGTTTATAGCTGGTCTAGAGAAAACTCGAATGGTGTCAATCGCATGACCGCGTTAGCATCGCTGATGGATGCAAATCAGGTAGGTGAAGCCATGTCGGAATCGAACTTACGTCAGTCAAGTTATGAAATAGCTCTGCGGCTTTCGGGTCATCGGGATTTTTGTCAGGATGGCACTTCAGCGCTTTCTTCCGGTAGGCTGACTTTATCTCTTTCTCTGAAGCCTCGCTCGTCAAATCGAAGAGACCATAGAGGTCTGTTTTCATCAGTGCATCGATCTTCTTCTTGTCCGCTGCCATCCTGAGACCTTCTTAGATCCGGAAGAAATATATGATCAAAGAGAGACGATCGACTTCTCGTTTCGAAATTCGAATGTTTCGTTCTATTCTCGACCTCGGTGCGTGGCGGGCAATTCGAACGAGCGGTTAGCGCACCGCTTCGGCTTTGCGCGAATCGTTTTCCCAATCGTCAAATCGTCTTTCCCACTGATACGACTAGATTCCGATCTAGTTAGGGCAACGAGTAAACACTCGCGGTTGGTCTTTAGCTCTAGGTGTCAACACTGGTCCATGCGTTGACCACACCCGCATAGACTTCAATGAGTAGATCAGGAAACACACGGGGAGCGTTAACGGCAAGCGTCAGTAGTCTCCTGTCTTTTATTGAGCGCATGTACAGTGCTTATATACGGATCTCATCCGGTAGTGAGGGCTAGCCCCGAGAGGAGCGCCCGACGAGGAACCCCAATTTAGCGGGACTGTTTGAGAGAGGGGGGGTCCGACTCAGCGTTCGGGCTAATGGGTATTCGGACTGATGGGTGCACACCTTCTAGAGTACCTAGCGGCAAGGCGACCCCCCTATCTACATATTACGGATGCGAGGTCCGTCGAGCGTCGAGTGAGCTCGATTACTCGACCTCGATTACTCTACACTCAGAGCGTCTCTATCTAGATACACGAGTTCCAACATCCACCATGGGCTTATGGATTATGAAAGATGATGAAGCCCATACACTGCTCCAATCAGAGAAGATATCATTCGCAGTACTAATACGAGCGGGGGAATTTTCGAGGAGGATCTTTCACCGAGGCAGTGCAAGAAATCGATCGAAATACTCAGACAGGCTGGCAAGTAGTCCGTTATCGTCTCGTAGTCAAATTAAGCGAATCGGTTCCATAGTGAGAAAGTAACGGGTCGAACTCGATTTCAGCTTCTTCAACCATGCGTTCGAAGAGCAATTCCATCAATGTTTGGAATTCCCAGCCCAGACGCGTTATGTAGTCGCGTTCCCTCTGATCTGTTCTCATTTCATCTGTTGTACACATGAGCTTTGCCCTGAGGAGCGCTACCACATCGGAGATCGCTCGGTAAGGATGGCCGATGCGTTCCTCGACTAGATGGCGAAGGAGGTTAAAAATATTATCACGATCATTTGCGACGAGCATGTTCTCTATAGGACAAATGGCTGCCCAAACAAGCAGCATGTCGCATCGCTCAGATGGTGCAACGTCGCAGAAGGGACATGAAAAGCAATAAGAATGGCCCGCCTATACCTGAACCGGAGGAAGCCGGTATTGAAAGCTACCGGAGAACGAGACTCGAGCTCTCTACGTGAGTCTCGACCCACATCATGGCCTGATACTCCTAGCACTCGATGCGTAGTCGCGACCTGGCCCTTTGTGATGCTCTCTGCTAAAGCTCTGCTCGTTAATTTCTCGCCCCTCGGGATGGACAAGCTTCACATGGCGTTGACGGAAGTGTGTTATGCCATAAATTATTCTTTTGGTCCTAAGTTTTCGACTGCGCCGTGAAAGAAGCCGACGGGCCAAACAAACGACTTTATTAGTATTTACATTATTTATTATTATTTATAGACAAAGCAGCCGCGCGCTCGGATGTCTGCGCGTCACTTGGCGGGATGTTCGAGATCCCCTGACAGATACGATCTTTTGTACCAACTTAATGTGAGCGGATTTCCTGGAAGGCCGCTCTCCTTCTCGACAGCCGCTTCAGCGGCTTTGATATCTTCGAATATCACCTGGGCGGTCGGTTTCTTGTCGGAAACCACTAATGCCATAATGCGGCCATACTTGCCAAGGATCCGTTCCAAGTCTTCCCGCTTATAGGTTCCCAGTTGACGTTTCCATCGGATTTTAATCGGGTTCGATGCTTGGCTGGTCTCTCGATGGTTCTCCTGGCGAACCTGAGATATTATCCTCGCGAGTCGCTCTCTGAGGAGTCGGGACTCCTCCTCGACGATCCTCGATCCCTCTTCCCTGAGTCTTTCTATTTCTTGTTGAAGCTGTCTCTCTCGATAGACCTCCTGTCTCCCCTCGGCTGCCCGGCGTTCTCGAGCCTCCAGATCATCTATGAGCTTGCGCCGCTTGATATCGAGTTCTCGGTGTCTGATGGCGGCACTTTCCTTCGCTTTCAGCGACTTATCGTAGACTCCCCGAATTACGGCGTCCGTCAAGACTCCCAGTGCCTGTCGATGCAAAGAATAGTTTATAGCTGGTCTAGAGAAAACTCGAATGGTGTCAATCGCCTGACCGCGTTAGCATCGCTGATGGATGCAAATCAGGTAGGTGAAGTCATGTCGGAATCGAACTTACGTCAGTCAAGTTTTGGAATAGCTCTGCGGCTTTCGGGTCATCGGGATTTTTGTCAGGATGGCACTTCAACGCTTTCTTCCGGTAGGCTGACTTTATCTCTTTCTCTGAAGCCTCGCTGGTCAGATCCAAGAGACCATAGAGGTCTGTTTTCATCAGGGCATCGATCTTCTTCTTATCAGCTGCCATCCTGAGACCTTCTTAGATCCGGGAAAAATATATGATCGAAGAGAGACGATCGACTTCTCGTTTCGAAATTCGAATATTTCGTTATATTCCCGACCTCGGTGCTTGGCGGGAAATTCGAAACCACACCGCTTCGGCTTTGCGCAAATCGTCTTCCCAAGTCCCCTGACGCACGCACCCGCTTTTCCACTGATAGAACTAGATTCCGATCTAGTTAGGGCAACGAATAAAGACTCGTGGTTGGTCTTTGGCTCTAGGTGTCAACACTGGTCCATGCGTTGACCACACCCGCATAGACTTCAAAGAGTAGATCAGGAAACACACGGGAAGCGTTTACAGCGCGTCAGTAGTCTTCTGTGTTTTATTGAGCGCATGTAGAGTGCTCATATACGGATCTGATCCGGTAGTGAGGGCTAATCGCGAGAGGAGCACCCGACATGGGTTCTAGAGTACCTAGTGGGTGAGCGACCCCCCTATCTACATATTACGGATGCGGGGTCCGTCGAGTGAGCTCGGGTGTTTGATGAGCGAGAGAGACAGCCATCGGGTGATGCCCGCCGATGGGGTTAGAATCATACGACCTCGATTACTCTACACTCAGAGCGTCTCTATCTAGATACACGAGTTTCAACATCCACCATGGGCTAGGAATATGAAATATGAAAGACGATGAAGCCCATACACTGCTCCTATCAGAGAAGATATCATTTCCAGTACTATTACGAGCGGAGGAATTTTCGAGGAGGATCTTTCACCGGGGCAGTGCAAGAAATCTATCGAAATACTCAGACAAGCTAGCAAGTAGTCCGTTATCGTCTCGTGCAACAGCGGGCTCACGTCCGTCGATCGGGAGTGCGGGGTGATGGTCAAGCATTTGACTCTATTCATGGCGGCAGTCATCCATCCAGAGTAGAAGGTGGAGTCGAACCCGTCTGAGAGGGTGCACCGTTCAACTGCGATTTAACTGCCTTCACGCCTCCGACGAAATGATCTAGATCGCACGCCAACTCTGGCCTAATGATTCTATGTCATACGCTCGGAGGAACTAACGCGAGAACACGGTGCTCCGACGGCTTCTCAAGCTCGACTCCAGTTTGAACATATTCCGGGAATATAAATCCCGAAGATGTCTGCGGTACCCTCCTCGAAAACACACCAGGCGTTCTCTATCAGAGGCAGATAGTTAAAAACATCCATTATTGAAGACTCTCTTGAGGACTCTAATGAAAAGGAAAGATCAATTCTTTGCGCAGGCTCGTTCGTGAGCACGACTCGCGCACGCGACATTCAGAGCAAGTGTCCAGACAGTCTCAGTTCATGAACTGATTTCAGGATAATCCATTATCCGTTTCTCGAAAATTCCTCTCCGTGACTTGCCTGAATGGCAGCCATGCTACGGTGCCTCGAAGCTGCATAGCGCTCCCAGGGTGCTCTTAGAACTTTTTGAGATAGTCCCAGAACCGTAGTTCCTTTTGGTGACCGACGAGCCCACACATCTCCGTTGAGCTTGGAAAAGTTGACAGCTGAACTCTCTGACCGGAATGTGCCCTCCGAGAGATGAACTTGGTAATTTCATCGTACCCGAGGGGAATTCACGGATGGCGGCGGCCTCCGAAAACAGGAGACGATAACTTGGACAATGGAATGGGGACGTCCGCAATTTAAAACATAAATAAATAAATTTATTCACTCCAACGTTTCCTGTTCTATACCTGAATTTCTAGTATTCAATTAAATTAAGAGGAGGGGCTTTAAAACAATCTCGACTGAGACGAGAGCTTCACAATCAACGATGTTTCATACACGCGCCACTCTCACCTCCGGATCTATCTCACGAAGTAACTCTTGATAGACGGCTCGGTCTAAACTCTGCTCCAAGAAACTCAGAAGAAGCCGATCGGACAAATTTTGTGCATATTGTTTTCCCTTCCCGTCCTTGCTGGTTTCGCTTCCCGACATTATTGTCATTCCAACCAAGAGATTCTGAACGATAGCGGAAACGAGTGCAACGGCGAAGACGAGCCAGATAAGAACATACATCTTCTCGAAGAGCACGTTCATAGAGAGGAGACAGAGCACGTCTTGGCGCTGGGTATTGCCAGCGGCGCCGCTAATGACTAAACTACACTGAGCCCGCTTCGGAAAAACTCTATTCCAAGACGGAGACCCCTGAAGCCACAAAGGAAACATTCCGAGGAAGGCGTCGTGGAGGAAAGCCTGCGTGAACGAAATTTGCACAATCACATTGATTAGGTAGAGCAACTGACAGGAAGCGAAGCACAAGAAATAGTTTTGATGGGACTCCCTCCGATCCTCATCGAGATAATACTTGGCCAAGCTCTTCACAGCTTCGGTGCGCTCTTGAGCTGAGGCGAATTCGAGATTCGCGACGCGATCCACCATTTTACGGACTCGGCCACGTTCGGCGAACTTCCAAAGCAATCGCGGAGCCTGACAACGGTGGGGCTGAATTTTCATCTCATTCGCGGTAATTCTGTCCGTACATCAGCATAGCAGAAGACTCGGAGTCAACCAATGGCTCAAGGTCGATCTCACCTGGAAGCAGGCCGCCTGGAGAACCAGAGCGAGGGTCACCCATTGGTAATATCGGAGGAAGAACTGTCCCACGACAGTTCGCGAGTGCGGATTCCCGATATCGAGCCCACCATCTGCATCTTCAACGAGGAACGTAGAGTTCGCGTAGCACCACTCTTCAGCGTACCTGGAAGAAGTGTTCGCTCAGACCAATGAGAGGAGCGCGTCGAGAGCGCGAAAAGACAGACGATGATATTCTTCTGAACGTTCTACTCACTTTTTATCGAAATCGCTACTATCGGGCTTGGAGCAATCGATCCTCGAAAACCAGCTCTGCAATCCAGACAAGATGGCACAAGTCACCAAAACCCCGAACACACCTTTGTATTGGATTGCGCTGATCCTGGAATCATCGGTGTGCCTGACTGCTTTCGAAGGATTGAAGTATTTCACAACGGATTGCAGGGCAGCATGAATGGTAGCCATGCCTGATTCTAAAAACGTTCCCCCGGTTCCCTCCGAGAAAGGTTTACGCTCGAGATCTGGTTAAGCACGGTACGCGGGCTTCTGGAAATGACAGCCGATGACGGTGTCGGTCAACTCGAGCTTCTGTTGAGGGAAACCAACACGCGCGCACGCCACGAGCACATCGACAACGCGGGTGAACGTGGTTTGGAGGCGAACGTGCATCGAAATTCCGCGGCTCTTGCGACTCGTTTGTTTCATAATGCTCCTCGCTAACTCGACCAAACGAGAAATTCCGAGTTCGAGTCACATGCTTCGACTTTAGCTTTGTCGACCTATTCGTCATGCCTCAAACTCAATCAGGATCCCATTAACGCTCGGAATTCTCTCCTCCTAGACCCAGAACCGCTCTCCGTCTCCGTGGTCGTCGTTGACGGAGCCATCCCTCTTTCGGATTCGTGGCTACCGTCCCCGAACGCGCGAAACGGAGCTCCAAGTCAAAGAAATTTCGCTCATTGCTACAGGTGGGGTCCGTCTCGGCAGGTTCACGAAGGAATGGCGCCCAGGGCCCCGGCGAGTGGGCGGAACCGATTGTGATGATGATGACGATATCGCTGTCAGTAGAAAATGTCTTTTTCTCAATTGTGAGCATCCCCAGAGTGGACGATCGGAACAGGGAGAGAGAGTGAGACCTGCGGACAGACATGGACGCAACAAAGACGAACAACGGCTAATTCTCATGAGCGTGGTAGCTTTGTCCCGTGTCGGAGCGGGACCTCCTAGGCTCGCGACCGCTCCCATCCCCCGGACAGGTGTTACAGCGTTGTTCCGTTATTCTTCGGTGGACCCCGGTGAGGTAGGTACTTGTCCCCGGCTGCGTGTCGAAAACGACTTCATCGGTCGTGGACGGTCTCCGTACAAACACCGTCTAGAACTCGATCCGTGCCTCCGGGGTTGTATCCTGCTGCGGAATTAGAGACATATCTCAGTCAGTTCGCATTGCAGTCCACGCGATGCATCTTCGGGACTGTCTGCCTGATTATCTTCAGAATAGGAAGATGAACTATCGCAGGTCGCAGACAAATTTATCAGAAGGTGTTGCCCAATCTCAGTGGAAGGGACTTGGATGGGCAGAGGAAGCGCACAAAAAAATCCGTTCAGTCATCTCGACGCATCATTAGTTGACTGTGAGCTTCCGTCACAGGAGTTTCTTCAGTATAACGACGCTTTACGAGCGACGAACAGACGGATACGAGATACAAACGAACGTCTCGATTGTTGAATACGCTAAACGAAGGAAAGGTAGAGCATGGCACACACGCGCGCGCGAGCAAATGTTGAAAAACGTCAGGCGTGGTCACCGATCTTCATCTCGGGAACCATTGGGAACTGAGGCATTCAGCAGAACACCTATTACGGCTAACCGCGAAATGATTCGCCCCCGCCCTCAAGTTTGTTGCGCAGTCAGAAGCTCAGTAGGTAGTTTCTATTGTCAGAGACCCGAGCAACACCGACATCTGCTCACTGGTAGGCAGACGAAAATTCATTTACGGAACAGACTGATGACCGTGCAGTACGAGGTACAAGCCTCCGCGCGTATCGGCCGCTCGGCTCACGCAGGCGAATGTACGGCGAGCTCCAGCGCGGTCCCCCGGGGATCGAGGCAGACGGCGATGGTCGTCGGGGTGATAATTTCCGGCCATCTGACTGTTCCAGTGCATTCTAATCTTTAATTCATATTGGAAATCTCAGGCAATTCGAAAACAAAAAGTTTTGCCGTGGACGTGTCAAGCTCCCGACTCCGCGCGGATCCTCCGGGACAGTAGACGCCGCCGCTCGTACCCAAGTCTGCTTGATACCGTTCGGCGCGGAGTGCCCGGCCCTCCGAAAGAAGTGCCGTCGAGCAAGATGGCGATCTGGCGGGAAATCCGATTCGCCTGTTCAAAACAACAGGGATGCGGAGCACGTGGTTGTAGTGGGGGCCCCCGCCCGTCAAGGCGGCGATAAGAGACCGCAGCGGAGCTCGTCGGGTGGTTTCCGCCGGTAGACAATCGTTCTCTCCGCAAGTGACCTCCGAGAGGTCGGAAAATGAGGTTTAGCGCGTTCTTGTTCTTCCACTAGACTGGAAAACCTCCTCTCCCACTGCAGACCGCCGACCGAAACAACTCGGCGAGCGCTTTAGCAAGAAAGGCATGAGGGCCCATTCGTGGTATTTGCAGCAGCAGCGGCCGCAGCAGTAGCGACGAACACTCGCCAGAATCGACGTGGATCGGGCCACCACAACGACTGTGTCACCTTTGTGCAGACGCGAGTTCGCTCAGTGTTTGGTTAGTGTTGTTCGAATCGGAGGATCCTAAACGACCACCTACACGATGGGAGTTCCTGTTGGAGACGTCGAGAAGGGAAAGAAATTGTTCGTGCAGAGATGCTCTCAATGTCACACGGTCGACAAGGGCGCAGGTCACAAAGTCGGACCTAACCTCAACGGTCTCTTCGGACGCAAAACCGGTCAAGCGGCCGGTTACTCGTACACCGATGCGAACAAAGCCAAGGGAATCACATGGGGAGAAGACACGCTCTTCGAATATCTTCTGGACCCGAAGAAGTACATCCCCGGAACCAAGATGGTGTTCGCCGGTCTCAAGAAACCGCAGGATCGCGCTGACCTCATCGCGTACCTCAAGTCAGCCACCCAGTAGATCCATTGCGTTGTTCTAATTGCTAGTGTGAATATGAAAGATGGGAAATGTGAGCAGAGAACGATCAATTCGTCGCATCATCTCGAATAAAATCGCAAGTTTCTCGTTATTGGAAATTAAACGTGCTCGTCTGTTTTCAATGTGACCCTCAGTTCTGGAAGCTTCGTTGCCCGGATTTCCGTCGGAGCCAAGAGCAAGGATTCGGGTTGAGAGAGCATCAGCTGTCCCTGAAAGATATCAGTGCCTTATCGAACTCGTGAAAGCTCTAGGTCGAAAACGTGCTCCATTCCGTCATAGATGTTCATTGATACCCTCTCACGGGCGCTCTTCGTGATGACCGGACGTACCACAGTGACGCGGTGGGGGAGAGGGTCCGAGGGACCTTGTATCGAACGGAGGATTATTTTTGTTGAGCTCCTGACCCTCATATCGGAAAACGAGGAGTGTTCAGTCGAGAGTTGGAGTTCATTCGGAAATCGCTTTCCATGACGATTCGCTTTCGGGTAGTGAGTCTTCATCGAGAGATCCCATGAGCTCTTCTGATGTTCATGACCCTGGGCGTTTTCTCCCGTCGGAATCCCAGAACCGTGCTTCTATGTCGGGCTTATCAATGCTCGAGCTAGAAACCTCAAGGTCATCCTGTGGATATCCTTGGCTGAACTCGAAAATACCGAGAGCCGGTTCACTGCCATGCTTCCATCGAGATGAGTTGTGGCACCTTGACCCAGAAAGCACCAATGACTCGACATCAGGTGACAGCAACGAGAACAGGTTGGGCTGAGGGAAAATCTTGAGAATCAGTCTCTGAAGCTCTCGAGGGGATGTATTTGCGGTGAGGCTCGAGGTCCGAAGCACCGGCTACGGAGCGAGTTCCGATGCTTTTCGCGCTTCGCTATGACTTGACTCATGCGTTGAGCGATCGCTGCAGCGTGAACGAAGGCAAGGGTTGTGAATGGGCCGAGCGGCAGGCGAGAGCGTGCAGGATTCGAAGAGGGTGATATTGCTGTTCCATTTGCTTAGCGTTCTCGACGATAACAACCTCCTCCTTCGCTGTTTCGTTTCCCCTCCCGTCGGCGTCGTTTCAACGCAATTAAACTCCACCCAGAATGCGATCGGAACGAGCTATTATAAAGTTGTTCCGCCGTCGCGTCGTCATCTTGTCCTTATTGTTCTCTTTTTTTGTTGCAAAACTCGAATGCATAGGCACGACAGAAATCACTGAATCAAACGCATTGGATTTTTGATGCTCGAACCTGTGTTCTTCTTTCAGAGATAGCGTGTAGGAGATGGCCTTCGAATCCGGGCCTAGGGGAGAAAGTTTCGTCGCGGTCCGAATCGAGAGACTGGGAGTCTCGATCAGCTGACAGGTCATCAGGACTGGCTTTTACTGTGATTCGCCGATTAACAGGACCGTATTTTGCTGATGCTAGGTCTGAGTCAGAAGCTTCAATTCTCGGTAGTCTTCTCAGGAAGTCGAGATCGCTTTCGAGTTCCGATACCATACCCTGCGGCAGTTGGTTCTCGCCTATTTCAAGCAAGAAAATCCTCAAACTTCCTTCCTGGAAGAGGGATCCGGAGCATCATGACTCTTGAGATACCTACTTGTCGTCCGTGTATTTCCTGAGGCGAGGTCCTTCAACCACATCATCGGGTTCGGGGCAAGACCTGCAACAGAGGGCGAGAGCCTCAATGTTCTTTCCATCCCTTCTTGTAGAAATCCGCTCATGATCTTCATTGGCCTGAGCAGTCATTCAATGTCGGGGCCGCGCCGAGCATGAGGTTGACAATTTTCAATCGCGGGGTATGTGGTCACGTTCAAGAGGGAAAAACAAATTAAAGGAAAGTGAACAAGCGGGAAGGCGATAAAAACGAGCGAGCATCGATTTGCCCCGGCACGATGCGAGGTACATCGATTTCTATCGCCAGGCGAAATAAATTCCAGCGAATGCTCCCCGGCGGTAACAGTATCGAGCCGAGACGATGGTCCGAGAACGGCGATCGGTATCACGAGAAGAGATGCTAGACATCGGATTCTTAGCCAGAAAGATCGGGCTGCTCAATGAAATGAATGTTCACGGCGGCCGATAGGCGAACGGCGACGGGATGGACGGACGGACAGACTAACGTCAAACAACGTCGGGATTCCCACAGAGCGGACGCAATGTAAACTCACAGCAGTCTTGTGGTTCCTCAATGGACGTGAAGTCACTACACGGCCACTTGGCCACTTCGTCGAAGAAAGCCGATGGGAAAGTCAAACACCCATGGCTCGTTCTCTAGCTGAGCCGCTGTTGAAGTGTTAACGCTGGAGATGGAGAAGAAAATCGGCGACGAGACGCCGTTACGTGTCCTGCATTGCTTTTTCCGCTTAGCGGTATCGAATCCGTCGCGGGAGTGTTTTACGATAAGGTGTTGGAAGGAACATTGAATCATCCACGAGTCGATCGATTTTTTTATTTCACCCCATCGGCCTGTCGAGGGAAATCGGATCGGATCCACGACGGAAATCAACTTCGCAACCGGACGATTCGCAAAACACTAGGGCAAGGGAGAGCGATGACAGTTTTTCTGCGCTTGTTCTCCTCATTGGCCCGCTAGATTCGGGGTCGTAGACGTCACGAGTCGAGGAAGACATTTTTGTCGGTGAATTGAAACGGTCCCACCGCGCGACGCTCGATAAGTACCGTCTAATGAGCGACAAATGACGGAGCGTGGTACGAGGGAGAATACAACGAGGATGAGAGAAAAGGAGAAGACAGAAAAATTGAACATACTGTATCCGGGGATAATGGGAGCGATCGTTACTCACAGTTTCACAAATGACGGAATGGAACTAAATATTTAAACACTGATACAGGCTACCCCCCCCCTTCCCCCCGAACGTTCACTCCAGTATTTACGCACGCATTCGACGGGGGCATACGATTGGTCTTACGGGGGCTGTCTCTCCGTCAACTGGAAGCACTCTTCGGAAACGCATCATCGCTGGCATCCACACTAATTCCACGGAGTAATGAAGTTTTTTCTTGTACCAAATTAACGGGCTTCATTGTGAACAGCTGAGTATACAGTTTGAAGCCGCTCGCAAGGGATATTAGTTCGAGAAGCGATCACGGCGAGACGCAACATCACCGCTGGATACCTAGCTAGCATGTGGGGGAATGATGACATATGTACATTGTATGTGCCTTCTGTATAAAGTACGGTGGTATACGCGATCCTCCATAGATACAGGTATACATGACCACCTGAATGGTGAAAATCGTTCTAGAGAACTAGTACGAATTCTTATTTTTCGAACACCAAGCGCCCGTTTGAGACCGGAGGCATTCTTGCTCCCTCGAGAAATCATTATCAGCGCCCCATGGTAAGCAGAGAGAGAAACAGTAGAAAGAGCGATCTTCCATAGATGTATGTAGGTATGCATGCGTACATATACGGAGGAAGAATTGTTCACAAGTACACATACGAATTCGTATTCACCGAATACCGAGAGTCCATTCGAGATCGGAGGCATTGGCGCTTCCCCGGGGAATCGTAGTCAGTGCCCTGTGGTCTTAGAACTCATGCGAGTTCCGTCACTTATGTCATTCCGGCTCGTTTGTCCGAGGGTGTCGTCCCAACTACTCGACGACTGCGCTTAGTTTCTAAATCTGACATCGCTTCTCGCCGTCGCTCCATCCCTCGGTGGCAAATGCAAACCGTCAGAAAAACGAACAGACATTGGGAGAGAGATAATTGTCAGATTAATAGCTGATAATTCTACCGGCTCTCAGGGCATCTTTTTGATCGGAACAACGCCGCTCGGACGAATGCGGAAGATCAGGCACATCGCCAGTCACGAGAGCTATGTTTCCATTCCCATGGACAATTCCGTCATCGCCTCATCCGCTCCTGATTGCGGTCCATGTTTACTTTGTCCGCAAGTTTCCTTTTTCAAGAACCCCTCAGAAGAACTGAGCTTGGAGGGGCCCTGGAAAGGATACAGTCGATAGCGGTTTGAACGATCTGAACTCTCAACCAGTGGGAATCGTTCTTCTCATTTTCCCGACCCTATGTGCCGCCTTCCATTATTCTACGGGCACAGTCTGGACGCTCTGAGCTCCGAGCGAATGAATATGAGTCGGTGAATGAGGGCTTGCGAGGTTACGAGCCTCCCTTTCTATAGATGAAGTTTGACAAATGAAATGAAACTTCGAGGTCTGAAAATCGATACAGTGCCTTGGAGCTCCGAAAATTGATTTCATTACGCCAGCGATCTGTTGTCGGAGGAGTTCACGACGGAATCCGCGTGATTTCTCCTTGAATACGGGCCAGTGTCTTGGCTTCCCATATCAATTTATTTTTAATCTATTCTTTTCTTGCTCAAGTTTGGTCGTTTCGGTGAAATGGAATTTTCTCTTCCCTTTTTTCAATTTCGTATCTTTATTATTATGGATACTGTCCTTTCAGTTATTGATGACCGCGGCCTGCTACCGATTGAAACCGTAGACTGCCGCCGCGTTCTTCGCGGCTGCGTTTCGGGTTTTGTCGAATGCATCATTCTCCATCATCCAATTACTGAAGTTTAGCCACATCCATGGGCTTGAGGCTTGAAGTACCGCAGGTGAGGCAACTTCCGATTACATCTGGAATTACCGCTTGTCTTTAACGTTCAGCGGCCTCGCCGTGCCGTGATGTTCTCGGTGGATTCCGAGGAGAGCGAAACGCAGACATTCATCTCGCAGGAAGACGTAGACAGTGATTCTCGAGATTCAGCGAGACAGTGAACGGTGACTGGCTCCGAGTGACTCTCAAAAATTGAGAAAAGGGACGAAGAGATCTGAACTTGACGCAGCGCTATTCGTCCGTGAAAAATATTCACGAATCACTCAGCGTGTAGGGGTCTACAACCGCGTGGTTTCTTTTCATATTTTTGGTCTTCGTCGCCTCTTCCTTCGATTCATCTTCCCGTTCATACCGACAGAGACGGGTCTGCGATCTCTGCTCGGCGCTCATCGGATCTGGCTTCGCTAAAAGATTGGGGCACTGGAATGACCATCTCAGAGTCAAAACTAAACTCGTTTTCTATAATTCTGCCGAAGTCCTCGAGAACTCTTTGCTTCGCCCTCCCACTCTCTCTGCCAGCCGTCTCTCACTATGGAACCCGCTCGGGAGAAGAACATTTTCGAACCCGTCGACGCTGCTTACCGAGCTCAGTGCAAAAACACGCAGTATGACCCAGTTGGCTCTTTGGGACGTGCCATCACACGTTTCGTCGACCGGAATCGTACTACGTTCGAAACAGGAGTTATCGTCCAGCCGAAAACTCCAGTTGTCACCGGACTGCTCCATGACGGAACGAGAGAGTGCATCTAATCTGAACTTCGCCTGCAAGCTCGGCACGTGAATTCGGAGTCACGCAGAAATCTTGTGTCGTTGCGATGTATAGGTGGCCTCCGGACACCAGGCTAACCTCCTGACATGTACTGGGATCGAGGGACTGTATGTCTGAGCCGCGTTTCTCTCTCTGAAAACTTTGCTATCGAGTATAGCCATTGTTGATCGTTTAAATTCTTAGGGTGTGTACCGAAAGTATCGCAGAATACAAAGTTTACTCGGACACTGGAGATCACTCGGACGCTGCCGAAACAGCTCAACTGGGCCAGCGAAAAGTTGCCGTGCGCACGCTCAAATCCCGCGGGTGCTCCGATGGCTGCTATCGTGTACCACCCACGAGAGCAAGACGAACGCAAGAGATTAAAGGTCTATCAGAGGATGGGAATGCCTCAGATCCCGCGGATTGGAATTGGTGTCGGATCCATTCGCGGCTCCAAGATGGTTTTCTCGCATCACTTCTGGCATTCTCCCCCAAGCGAGATTCTTGAGATCCCTTGATATTGAATACCTCTTTGCATCAGTCAGAAATTCCAGATTCTTTTATTCGTCGTAGACTTCTGCTATCACAAATTCCAGAAGATATTCAAATGACAATGGGCCAGAGCCTGAAGACTTTGCTCCGGGCCTTCGTGGGTAGGCGGAGCCCGAGTCGGGCTATTGTAGAATAGTAAGCGATTGCACTGAACTCACAAACCCTCGATGAGGTTTGAACAGAAAGAGACAATAAATAGAAAGTAATAAACTCTCCTGATTCTTGGTGCCCAGGAATAGCCTGGACACCAGTTCTCGTAATCTAGAAACATTTCTTTCTCCTAAAATCATACCTAGCTTTTCATTTACATGAGTCATATACATCGTCTGAGGTATGCAGATCCCTTCTCGCAGATCCTGGAAGAAGAAAGAGGTTCGTTAGTCCAGCTGACGGACTGGCACCAAGGGAGATACGAAGAATTCTGGTCTTCGCCACCATAGTGCTACTCCCTGCTGGAAGTCGTCGCATCGGAGGCGACGCGTCGGGAATATGCACGTACGAATGCCTCCCTCCACGGACCAGATGAAATCGGTGAGCCTCCAGCATTATCCAAAGGCAGGGGGTCGACGAGGTGTCATTCTTTCGGCGATTTGCTCCTTCCAAAGAGCTTTGAGTGATGCCGGTAAAGAGCTTCTTCGACTTGACTGGTACTTCAATGACCGAGCCGAAACGAGCGTTCGACAAGCGTGAGACATCACTGTCTAAGGAACTCAAAATCGGACACGATTTCCAAGAGCGCTTTCGCATTTCGGCATTTGTATAATACTCGCCGACTTTCGATGTTGTCATCCGTCGCAGCGAAAGGTCGCTCACCATTCCAAACTGAATTCGTGTCTCTCTGCCATCCCGAAAAGTTGAGACGAAATCAATTTAGGAGGATATTGTCAACTCGGAATCCTGAGCGCTACGCGAAACATATCAGGGAAATCCCGAGAGACTGCGCCCGCACGAAATTGCGGAAGAGTTCTTAGTTCCTCATGTGATAGAATCAGCATGATATCATGTCGTTCTTTTTGATTAGTCGGCTGGATCGCACCGCCATCATCGGCTATAGTCGGCAGGATTTTCTTTAGTCGACGAGATTCCCTTTCCCGTCGCCGAAGTCTACAATTTACGGAGAGCAGGAGACAATTTAGCTTTAATCTCGGAAGTGATAATGTGTTCAATCATTTCCATCTTGCGGGCTCCGTTCCTACTTGGTCGTTTTTGAAGAAGCCGAGCGCAAATTGATTTCTACTTTTTAAGGCCTCGTCTCTCTCCCCCTCTCCTCCTGCAGTCACCCACCGCCTGCCGATCCGCGCTGCCGCCGCTTCCATCCTGAGTTCCTCGGATGGCTCCGCAGCCGTTGTTGACGGCGTCGACGGCTACAGCAGAGAGTTTGGGTGGAGTCTCACGGAGGAGCGCGAAAGCACAGAGGGGCATTCGTGCAATGTCTTCTTTTTTGGCTCCGATTTTCCCACTCGCTCGAGATCTTTATGAGCTAGCAAAGTGCTCATCGAAGCCGCCAGCCAGCCGCTTCGTCGAACGGCCGAGCGGCCGGCCAGCCAGCCAGTCATCCAGTCAGCCAGTTAGCTTTCGAGCGGGGCTCTCGACGGGGACCGGGGCGGCCGAACGGACGGCCAAGCATTATACTTAGTTGTCACGTAGACACTCACAAGGTACGTTGCGGGCACGCTGGGCACAAGACGTCGAATCGTCGTCGGTCGGTGCAATGAGCTGTGAGATGTGTAATTATTTGCCCCGACAGTTCGACGTCACTAATTTCCCGTCTTTCTCTCTCGATTTATCCATCCATTCATCTATCCATCTATTCGTCGGTCGCTTGCTCTCTCCGTCTGATGATAGCTATAAGTCACGACGCTGGCCGGCCATCCAGCCAGCCAGCTCTGGGCCCTGGATAATGGTCCCCTGCGGGTCATCATCCGTCGTCTGTCCTGGGAACCGCATGGGTCTGTATGACCCTCACTTATCCCGGCTGCACATAAACACCCGCATACATACACACGAGCACACATCGGCCGGTCCAGCGATAGCTTTTCGCAGATCGTATTATGAATTCGCGATCCCCGCCCCCGAGGGGAATAATATATTCTTGCCGTCAATTTCAGGACGGGGGCTCAGGATTGGAGTTCAAATCATTCCGCTTCCACTCCCAGGGAGCCCGCGGTCCAAGCTCCCTCCCCGATCCATTGCGACTTGTCGTGAAAACTTTCCGTGGTCTCGGTGATCAAAATCGGGTCATTCAATGGCAATCTCGACCACGGAGCCGGCTGCCGACTTTATGTTCACCGATTCGACGCTTTTATGACTCGATAGAGATAAGTGCTCGAATCGACGTTCAGAGCACGCTGGAGACTATTCCGAAACCCTCCGAGCGCCTTATCGGAACAAACCTCGAAAAAATGTCGAAATGAAATAGAGAGAGAGAGAAACTCACTTTCACAACGCGGCTGGCTGAATCCATGAGGTCACATCATCTCCGTATGGCGCTTCATGTGGAGAGACAGATGATCGGAACGCGAGAACGCTCGCTCGCACAACCTGCACTGGAACGGCCGATCCCCTGTATGCTTGCGATAATGCCTCGTCAGTTCGTCGGAGCGTGCGAATTTCCAGCCACAACCTTTCCAATTGCACATGTAGGGCTTTTCTCCGGTATGAGTGCGGAGATGTGCTTTCAGGTGTGAGCTCTTTGAGTATGTTTTCATGCAGCCCTGGTAGCTGCACGTGTGGATCGTGATCTTCTTCGGTCCATTCCTACTTCTCCGTTCCCGTTTCCCCATCTTCGCTGGACTACCGAGGCCGTTCATTCCGTTCATGGTGGACATGTGGCCGATTCCATAGAGAGGAGTGTCTAGCTGATCGGGTATGATAGTTTGAGGAACTTCTTGTCGAAATTGCGGCGACGGCATGCGGCCAACCGACGGCGCATATGGCCGAGGGTGGTGGGGTCTGTAGAAGCGGTTCAGATTATGCATGAACTGGTAATGGTGGTTTTGATCTGGTACCGAGCCTTCTTCCGGTGCGTTTGAGTAGAAACCCCATTGATGTTGATAATAGTCAGGAGTGGTGGGGCTCGGCGAATGATGGAAACTCCGGACGGTGCCTCCGAACGCGGTCTCTGTCTCTGACTTGACACTGTTGGCTTCCGGATGCGAGGGCTCGACGGCCGGGTGGTATCGATGAGGATAGGGTGCCGATGTCGGATAGAGACCTTCCGAAGCGGCCTGGATGTGTAGCGATTGCTCTGACGCGGGGTTAACCGGGTAGAATTCCTGCTTGATGTGTTTGTCCGAGGTACTGGTAGAAGGGTATCGATCCCCTTGGTAGGAACTGAGCATGTTTCGTAGATTCTGCTGGGCCGCTAGCCGTTGTTGTCGAGCCTCGTGTGAAGACGGACCCCCGTCGCCCAACAGTACGCTCTCGATGTCCTGCCACATCTGAAAAACCCAGAAAATAATTCCGATCAATCAATGACGTAGGAAATCTCGGGTCTCTCGAGAGGATTCTTCTTTCACTTGGTCTTCGTGTCAGAAGCTCGCCGTATCGACAGTTCTCTGGCTGTCGACGCCATGTAAAGAAAAGCTCACCAGAAGAAATTTAGGTAACCTTGAATTCGGAATGCTCACAACGGATCACTGATTTACGATTTGCTCAGTCACTGAGCCACGGAGCCAGCCGATCATGCAGTCACTGGGTCGGCAGCTGCATGCTATTTCAAAGCAGTTTTCTCTCTTCGAATAACCTCATGGAACAAACATGAACTCCCGAGAGCTCGGTAAAAGAGCTTGGAGGGGTGAATGAAGATTCGTATACGAAATCAAGATCCCAGACCTTTTACGAATACATATCTCATGCTCTTCGCCGTTCTACTCGGTGTCGTGTTGAATAAACTCGTTTTCCGCTCTACTCCTGCCATTCTGAGAATCGCTTTTCAGGTTTAGGCCTCACTGAGATGAATTCTCGTCCAGGAACCTGAGATCGAGATGATCCCCTGACTGGCACGTGAAAGAACGAAAGGAATACATTCTCGATGCTGAAGGCGGGCCAGGCGTTGTTGCCTGATCATTTTGTCGGGAAACGCGAAACCTCAGCCTTCCATTAAGTAGATCAATTTGCCGGAGACAGGGAAGACAAAGTAAGCCTGATGTTTTAGCAGCAGTCGTGGCAGACGTTAATGACACGTACGTTTTATTCATCTTCCATCCTATTCGCTATCCTTTCATTAAGCCGTTTCTTGGCCCAGTCGTAAGGTGTACATCAGATGCCGTGCCAACTAAGATTACCTCCCTGATGATGGAGTCTGGTTATGGCTTCCCCGAATGCGTTCGGGGTCCTGGAAGGACGACGCACTACAGGCGAGCTCCCTCTGTGTAGTGGTACCAGACTCTCGCCACGTGACTCGCGATCCCTGACGGCGGAATAATTCGAGATTCCTAACCTGACGGCTGAGTTTTCTCGGACGGATAGATTCGAGGCCGGAAGGCGCCATCGACTCCGACGAGTCATCTAGTCTTGAAAAGATAAAAGAGGCGTACTAGGAGCTTCGGCTCGAGCGACAGCGATCATGACTCTGTTGAGGTTACAGGTAACAAAGAGTTTCCGCTCGCGCTTCGTCTCGCTCCGCATCGAGTACACCCCCGCAGTCGTCTGGTGGGCTCGGAACAGCGCTCGACAGGAGGCATAATGTTCTGGCGATGATCATTATTATGAATAGCTCATGTCTGAATGAAAGACTCACACACACACTCGCTCACTCTGTATGAATGACTGAGGAGATAGAAATGGGTAAGCCTTTCGCAAGCTCTATTGTGAATTATTCACTAGCAAAAAATCCGCCTATCGGTCTATCTTCCCCTTTTTGAGCTCCGACGGCGTGACCAGACCTCATCCACTCGCGGCTTTTTCGAACAATTCCTTGACGAGATCGTAAGCGCGTGTTGGTACCTATACGAACACATACATATGCATGGCAGGTATTCATGCTTCCTTTCCCGTAAGCGAGCTGTTAGCTGTATTAGCGATGAAGAGCGATGATCCGAGCAATCGGCGCTGGTTCCGCCAGCTCTCGGTGTACGGCATCGCATCCCGCGGGTGACACGTCGATGATGCGATGATCCAATAAATTCACGTCATCGATGCTCTGGATTTCCTCAGTATCTCGGACCATCCGTCACATTTCAGTCGACAAAGAGGAGAGAGTGTAGCGAATTCGTTACTTCTGTGGAGGTCACCTAAAGTTTCAGCGAGCGGCTCACACCCCTCGAGTGAGTTACCGACGGAAATCGTGAACGAGATCAGAGCGACGCCGACGCATTTTGCGCCCGGTGCTAATCAATCACCGATGTATGAAGGTAGCCGACAAGGGATCGGCCCTATCCGTCAGGGTATCCAGGCTGACGAGTCCTGAACTTCGGAGTTCTATGACATAATTCGCAGCGAATTTAATTACTGAGTCCGATTCGCGAGGGAATACCCATCTTACTGAAGGAGAGATACATATCAGAGTGAATGCGAGACCCGGGAAGCGAAGATTCTACTGTTTCTCCCGCGAAAATTCTGTTCAGGAGAATCTCGTATGCGAGCCGAGCGGTTCGAGGTGCTCCCCGTGAAAGTTTCGCAGTCAGAATGCCGCAACCGATCGGGCACAAATATTTGTCTCTCTTTCAGCGAGCCAAAACAAGGGTTCAAAAGATACGAGGATGATCTCTCAACCCACAATTTGCGTGAGTGCTGGCACCTCCAAAACAGTTATCCGAAGCGTTGAAAGGAGCGTCGTGAGCCGAAAACGAATTAATTGAATAACTTGTATGAAGATGTCGACAAAATGACGGAAGATACGAATTTTCGTCTTCGGTAATCGTTCGACGGAGTCGCTGAGCCATTTAGTCGTCGCTTCTCGCTATTAGCCCTCGTCCGTCTGCGGAATCCAGCGTGGGTACTTCTGGTCACATCGCCTGATTTAGTGTTGGGCAACTTTGACCACAGTGTTTCACGAAGCCCCTTTGCGAAGAAACCTTTGGAATCTGAATCTCGTGACTCCGAGAGCGAGCAGGACGAGACCCATTCGGCTTTCCTTGCAGCACCCGATCCTCCCACGACGCGAGGAATGGAACGTATCGGAAGAGGCTGTGTTCTTCCACGCTATAGAGTATACGGCAATTTCGATCGACTATCAAGGAAGTGATTTTCCAAGCGGCTTCTATTCTCCTTTCTCTGCAATCAACTGTGAAGTGATCTGCCCGAATACACGCACAAACTCATTGGGAGCAGCTGAAATGACTTATTTTCGATCTAATGAGGAGCAGACACTCCGCTGGCTCGGTCGCTTCGGTCGGCACCCGGACAGTCCCTCTTGACTCGCCGTTCGTAATCGAGAATCTGGCCAGCGCCTTACGTCCGAAAAAGAGCCCAGGGAAACGTCTTTGGTTCTTCGACCGTAAAGTCTCATCATAGTCGTCTCGCTGCGCAGGTCCGTTCGTTTCGAAAAGCATGATTTCGATCGCGATCGGCAGCAGGCATCGATTAGGCGCTCATTTCTGTATTCCTCGCGGACAAATAGTGATGGTGATCGCCGTGCTCGATTCAAACCTTCGGAAACTTGTGTGAAGTCTTTCGGGGACCGAATACTCTTTCGAGGATAGCAAACTGAATTCCGAGACAATCATCGAGGGATATCGCTCCGTCCTTTCATGCATCGGGGTTTTCTACCGGGAATTCTTTCATGCAGAAAACGGTTCGGGGCGACGAAACCATCGCTGAACTCAGTCAATGTTTAAGATACGAATATCCCAGCACGCTATCGAAGCTTTTTATATTTTCTGTGTACAGAAGCGCCAAGTGGATGAATGAATCGACGGTGAAAGAAACTGTAGTATCGTATCCTCTAAAGAGCGTTTCGTAATCATTATTTGATTCGAGCCGTTCTTCCAATCGGTGGGTCTCCTTCTTTCGTTTGGTGATCCCTACAGGGACTACACCGACTCTACTCTGTTATCAACTCTGCCAGTAGGGCTCGCCAGCTCCCAATTCGGACGGCTTCTGAATCGGAGCCTGCCTGGGATTTCCTCGTCGTAGACTTCAATGAATTCGAGAACCTAGTATTGCCACGTGTATTCGTGCGGTGAAGCCTGCCGTCTCAAGTTTTTATGGGGGTTGACTTGATCGCGTGACAAGCCCGTCAGGATTTCAATTGTACATAGAAGTGACAGCGGTGGCGGAGAAACCAACGGCAGCGCTTACCGATGAGCACGACGGTTTCACGAGGCGGATCGCTCCCGGTGCTTGGCTTTTTGTTCGTGAGAACGCTCATTCCGAGATTATCGATCAATCACGCATTGTCACGTTCGAGCTCGATCCGGAACGGTATTGTTCTTATTTCAGATTTCCATGATGGCTGAGCTGTCCTCTGCTTGAGCTTCCCTCGAGGTCTAGAATCGGGGCGCAGGATCTATCGAGCCTCTCGATCAGGAGCCCATTGGTTCTGTCAATTAGTGTATTTTCTCCGATCGCAGCGATCCGACCCCGGACGCAGTGATTTTAAAATCATGCTACGAAGCGTTCGCGTCTGTCGGGAGAATACGAGCGGTTTCCTCGGACTAAATTGAATTCTCATTGCAGAAATCGTTTACGGCGACCCAGGCGGACCGAGTCATTGTTCTGAAGTCGTCGGCGTTGTCGCTGACTCCTGTCCGACTTCAGTTCAAATTGAGCCAAACGGGCAGTGGGCGTAGAGTCAGAGGAAAGACACGGAGCTGGAAACATTGACACCCGTTACGTCTTCTGTCATTCACTGTTCGTCCATGGCTCGGATCGCAACAGCTGTGCCGGCACTCTTCAAAAAGACAGAAGTGACCCAAGCTCGCGGTACCGCAGAGTAGTAGCACAACAAATGATGACTTTTCCGGGAGCGAGGAAAATTCTCACTGAGCCAGGAGTCCAAGCTCCCATTTTGGAGTTGATACCGAGGGGAAAACGAGATATTCTCCTGTGGTCTGTACGAATTTCAACTTCCGATGGCTCTTAGACGGTACGAAAGGTTCGATGGTTCGTGAACGGTACGAGACATTCGACGGGCCTTAAACGTTACAAACCGACCGGCCACAGTGACTAATGGCAGGATGGGATGGGAGAAATTCAATAAACAAGGTCGGCAGCGCGTTGTCAAAGACCGGGCAGGGGAATTCTGCAGGCGCTCCAGTGTAATTTCGGTTCGCGTTACCAAAGACGGCATCGGAAGGAATCCTGAGCATATATGTATATCGAACGTAACTTCATTCGGGACTGAGAAGGCTATTTGAAAGAATTCGTCTCAATCATTAGCATCGTCAGTGCCATCTCCCCAAACTGCGGCAATCTTAGCCGGTTCGCTAGTTTGAATTTGGACGACTGTAATGAGCACGAACGCACGGCGCAATCAAGAACGGTCGCTTAAAAGGTC